ACTTCCCTATGCAAATTAATGAGAGAACCAAAAGTGCAATCAATATTAAGAGCAGGGTTTTAACTCATCATTATTAAAACAGGAAATCTTTTTACGTGGAGGGTACAATAACTATACAAATTTTTTTTGTTAGGAAAATGTGGTGTTCATTCAACCAGTTTAGTTAAAAAAAAACAATACATGAGAAAAATATCAAATGTGCTGAACCAGTCTAGGAGATGTTTTGCCGAATAAAACCAAGAAAAATGTGATGGCATGTCCTTGAATGTCTGTGATCAGCATGTTTTGAAATGATTTCTACTAATGTCGTTTTAATGAGAATATTGAAATGTCTCTTTTCAACACTTAAATCGCATCATTTAGCAATTTACAATATTGTAAACCCTCGTACTAGTCATTAATATTGCCCTTTTCTTGTTAAATCAGTTCTTCCATGTAAAGGATAAAATGACTTTCATAATGTCTTTACTCACAGACATTTTATTTTTCTGCACATTTGGAAAGTTTACCAGACTGTCTTGTAGAAAACATCAAATTTAATTTACAGAGAAGAAAAGAGTAATTTAATGAAAAGATGGCTTTAGGACATTTCAGCATAGACAAATTAATAAATTTATAATACATTTATATCTAAGGGCAGAAAGTTTGACTTGGAAAATACAATTTCAACATGCACTCTATCTGAATATGTGTACAATGAAATTAACTTCATTTGAGGCAATTCAAAAGAAATAAGTCTGCTGCACAAATTTATATGCAAATTGACATGATACTTCTAGTACAATGATATTAAACACTAACTTGTAAATATGTATTAATGCAGGTACATAACTCAGTTTCTTAATCATGTCTGGGATCAACAAACTTTGATTTAACTTATATAATTCATTGTAACAAGCATGAAAACCAAAGAAAGAAAACTGAATCTAGTCTCTAACTCAAGAATAATAAAGTGTTTGCCAAGTTTAAAAGTATCACAGGATATTATTGCATTAGATTTTCTTTTCATTTTTATGTATAAATATATTTTTTTCTTGAACAAAATACTGAATCATTTCAATTTCCATGAATAAGTAGTCAAGATTTTTAACATACTTTGTTTTTGAAAAATGAAACAATATGTCTGGCAACAAAAATTAAATTTGAAGATATTGTCTTTTCAAAAGTGCATACAAGTAGCTTGAGCACACAGTTATTTCAATGTGCATTTCTTTTTGACAAAAAAAATTAAAAATTAAAAAAATCACACCTGCTCTATCCAATAAAGCTTTTTACATGTAGTGTACTACTTTTGGGACAAATTGTATCAGAATTATAGAAAAGTCTATCGAACTCTAACTCAAAATATGAACAATAATTCAGTTTGACAGCTTCAGTTCAGACATACTAATTTTTGTCCTTTTCAAACTGGACCAAATCACTACTTCACCTAAATATTTTTACATGTAATTTTATCCCCCTACTTACTATTTTGTGCATAAAATATAAAGAAATAAATTTGAAAGGTGTATGAAAAAATTTGCAAGTTATACACTGTCCACACTAGGGACTCTATTTGTAAACAATGAATATCAAAGGACAATAACTGTGTCTTCAGACCAAGTCCTACTCCTTGTACTTTAAGAGTCAGTACATATAACAATGAATACCTAATAACAAGTCCTAATATGTTTCTGATGATTTGTCTTAATTTAATCAAATTTCTGGATCCTTGCTTCATTAACACCCTATTTTTAAATATATCAGGTCAATTGAATCCTCATTGAATTCTTTAGACTGAGGTCAGGATTTAATAAACTCACAGTAAACTTGACCAATCATTGGATTTTGGCCATGTACACTATGACAGATGTCACATATGAGTAGGAGGATATGCTAACCCTTCCAGAGTACCTAACAGTTAGTTTGGTATCTTCTTTTGGCCATGTACACTATGACAGATGTCACATATGAGAAGGAGGATATGCTAACCCTTCCAGAGTACCTAACAGTTAGTTTGGTATCTTCTTTTGGTCATGTACACTATGACAGATGTCACATATGAGAAGGAGGATATGCTAACCCTTCCAGAGTACCTAACAGTTAGTTTGGTATCTTCTACATGATATATTTACATATTGGTAATTTTCACATGTGTCTAGTTCATACTATGTTCGCTGCTGAATTTACATATTGGGAATTTTCACATGTGTCTAGTTCATGCTATGTTCGCTGATGAATTTTTCCAGCAGAATTTACCCTACATGAACATTTCACTTTTCATCATAAAGGCATGGTACAAGACCATAAAACGCAAATAACGAACACAGTGAAGATTCAACTGGCCCTTTAAGGGCCAAAGCACGAACAAAACCAGACGCAAAAATAACCTGATATACATATACTGGAATATCTTTACCAATACTAAGGTTCATTTTCCTCTGGTCTACATGTTGGTGACATTAAATAGTTGCTGTTTTAATTAAGGACCTTATATCCTCTAAAGCTTCAAACTTTTACATATGTTCAGCTATCAAGAATTTGATGCTGTAAAAACAGTGGTAGTTAAGTACAGAAATCATTTAATTATAATAGAGGTACAAAATGGATTTAAGTAAAATAAATTCACAGATTAACAGTCAAATTTTTTTATTAATTAACTGAACATGTTCTAAAAATGCGTTCTTAATTTTGGGTCTTTATGGTCTATAAGTGTCCTAACTATTTTGAATACAAAATGTTGGTCAATGGTACATAATAAGCATGCAAAGTTATCTTGAATTTTGATATGGATATTCAAATATCTGTTACTAATACAGCTTTATAAGATTATATTTCTTAATTGTCACATGTCAAACTATGAATGCTCCCTGCCAGACCTCATGGTTTTGTATTTTTAGTATTATCTTTTGAGTCATAAACCACATATTTACTAAACTTATAGATAGATAATTCCCCTTTAGAAGAGGAAAAGCCAACTGATACTTAGGTGATTGGTTCAATGATCAAGGTCACAATTTTCATCAACAAGTGTGCACATGCTTTTAAATGTCTCACCTGCTTTACTGAACATGATTGGATTTTATGTTCTAAGTCTTACCAATAACAGTTTTACATGTTCTTTTGAATTACTCGTCACAGACAAACGTGAACAGCAATTAAAGCCCTGTTCCTTTACTTAGGGTTTATAAAGTGCATGCCAAACTTTTGTGTCATAAATTAATACAACATATTCCTTAATTTCCATTATACTTATGTACAAAATAAAAATGCCAAAAACTATAAACTTCCATCACAGTTTGGGCATATAAGTTATTAACAGTAAAAATTGACCTGTTCTATATGCATATTTTTGGTTATAAGCAGTTAATATTTACCTATTCTAAACACATATTTTTGGTTATAAGCAGTTAATATTTACCTGTTCTAAACACATATTTTTGGTTATTATAAACATACTGCCCTTGGATAAAGGTGTTATGGTAGATTAACACATGAGGAATAAATGGGGAATGTGTCCATGGGACACAGATGATGCCCTCGCTTACATATCATATAAAGTTATAAAGGGACATAACTGAAGAACCGTAAAAGTGACGCTACCCAAATTTGTACTTGATCTGAGTTTTGTGGTAATAAGTATTGTGTATAAGTTTCATAAAATTTGGTTGAGGCAAACTTAAGTAAGAGAACGGAAACGAAAAATTCAGCATTTTTTCCATTTGTAAAGGGGCATAACTCTAAAACAGTAAAAGTGACACCCCAAAATTCAAACTAGATCTGTATTTTGTGGTAATAAGCATTGTGTATAAGTTTCATAACATTTGGTTGAAGCTAACTTAAGTTAGAGAACAGAAACGAAAAATTCAGCAATTTTTCCATTTGTAAAGGGGCATAACTCTAGAACGGTTAAAGTGACATCACCAAAATTCAAACTTGATCTGTGTTTTGTTGTAATAAGCATTGTCTATAAGTTTCATAACATTTGGTTGAGGCAAACTAAAGTAAGAGAACGGAAACGAAAAATTCAGCATTTTTTCCATTTGTAAAGGGGCACAACTCTAAAACAGTAAAAGTGACACCACCAAAATTCAAACTTGATCTGTATTTTGTGGTAAAAAGCGTTGTGTATAAGTTTCATAACATTTGGTTGAGAATAACTTAAGTTAGAGAATGGAAACGAAAAATTCAGCAATTTTTCCATTTGTAAAGGGGCATAACTCTAGAACGGTTAAAGTGACACCACCAAAATTCAAACTTGATCTGTATTTTGTGGTAATAAGCATTGTGTATAAGTTTCATAACATTTGGTTGAGGCAAACTAAAGTAAAAGAACGGAAACGAAAAATTCAGCAATTTTTCCATTTGTAATTGGGCATAACTCTAGAATGGTAAAAGTGACGCCACCATAAACTTAATGCCCCCTCCGCTACGGTGGGGGCATAAAAAATTTTCACCCAAGACGAAGTTTTTCAACAAGTGTGTTAATCACCCCAACACCTTCATCCAAGGGCAGTACGTCTTTTTATTATACTGAATGCCTTATGATTCAAGTGTGCACTATGTTATTAGAAGGACAATTGTAAAAAAATTTCAAAAATTATCACCCGAGACGAAGTTTTTCAACAAGTGTGTTAATCACCCCAACACCTTCATCCAAGGGCAGTATGTTTTTTTATTATACTGAATGCCTTATGATTCAAGTGTGCACTATATTATTAGAAGGACAATTGTAAAAAAATAAAGTCATAAATTAAGATAGTTTACTAATAGCAACCACAAAACGACGGAAATGATGTAAAAAAAGAATCGGTAAACCTCGGCCAGAGCAGGTGTTAATTGTTCCAGATTGGCAAACTTCGGGCTCAGCCGGTGTTAATTTTAGGCATTAGCACCCGTTGCTATGGATGGGCAGGGCTTATGAAAGGTTAGTGAAAATTAACAAATGCCGCATGTCTAATGAAATAAATGGATAATATAAGAAATTTGTATAAAGTATAAGAAAAGCAGTTAATATCTACCTGTTCTAAACACATATTTTTGGTGAGGGTTTCCTCTAACATTCTCTGTAATTTTTTATTCATATCTTTAAGATTTTGTTCATCTGTTTTATTAACAAGGTCTAAAACTTTTTTCAATGTTAGTTTGTCATCTTGTGGCTGATGTATTTTGGCATCTGAAATACATGAAAAAATCAATTTCAGTACTGTGCAACAATGATGTTTATTCCACTGTTTATACATATTGATAGTTTAATCAATATTTGATTGGTTGAGACTATCCCACGTGTCATTGAACACATCTTCATATTCCCTTCTCAGGATCATATTCCCCTCTGAAATGTCGGGATCACATCGTGTGATGTTACGCGCGGTTAATGTACATAATGCTTTGAACTTCTATTTCTTCTTAAAATAGTGATAGCAAAAATCATTATCATGTTCAAATTTATTTCAGACGATAAAACAAAAAGACTTATAATGAACTTTTGGTCCGTACTGTTTATCAATGTGTATGTCATGATAAGTTTAACTTATAAAAACAAGTGGATAAGATAAAAAAAATTATACAAAATAATAATTAATGTATTGATAGTAAACAAAGCATAGGCAGTGGAATAAAACATTCGTTTCCCCTTGCCTCAGGAGATATGAAGATTTGCTCACCCTAGAAAAAATCATATTTCCCTCGGGCAGAGCCCTCGTGAAATATGACTATTCTTGGGTGAACAAATCTTCATATCTCCCTCAGGCATGGGAAATAAATGTATAGTATTCCATTTATGCAATGAAGTATCCAAATTTTAGATTCAGTTATTGTTGAAGGATATCACTTTGTTTTAACTTACTTACTTAGCTTTGTTTATTATTGTAAGTTTTAATTTCTATTATTACTGTAAATTCAGAAATTATTGCGAGGTTTTTATTAATGCGAATAACGCGACTGGGTGAGTATCGCAATAATATGAACTCGCATTCTGATATCTGGCACATATGTCTAATATTATGCTGTAATAAAGGCATACTTTGTAAAATATTTATGAACAGAACATTTAAAGAGAAAAATATAATTATACATTAGGCAATACTATTGACAAGAAAAGGCTTCAATAATTTACAATTGACCCTTTAGGGAAGTTGAGATAAAATACCAATTCCTTACCATTTTTGGTTCCAGTATCTCTGACATAATGTTCTATGATCTTGGTTTTCTGTATTAAGTCTTCGGCCATAGCTGAGTTACTTGTTTCTAAGTGTGAAACCTAAAATATAATTAAAACATGATCATTTCACTCCACTTGTGCAAAAAATAAAATTGAGAATGGAAACAGGGAATGCGTCAAAGAGACAACAACCCGACCAAAGAGCAGAAAACAGCCCAAGGCCACCAATGGGTCTTCAACACAGCGAGAAAATCCTGCATCCGAAGGCAGGCTTCACCTGGCCCCTAAACAATAATGTATACTAGTTCAGTGAAAATGGACGTCACACTAAACTCCAAAAGACTACTGTAATGTTTTTAAATTATCTTTTAAGGAGATAGACATGAGTCATTGGGTGAGACAAAGTTTAAAAAGAACTTGAAAGCATAAGACTACATACAACCATTTTCCCATGTTTTTCAATATTACTCAATTCACTTTGAAGTTGAAAGGGTGGAACATAAATTGTTAAATTCTCAATCCAAGAATAGACTACACATTACAAGACTTTAAGGTCAAATTTCCAGTCATCTCTGACTCAGCCAAGTTTCGTAAGTAAGAGATTGGAAATCTTAGCCTTACATGTGTTACATTATGTTTCTCATATACCTTTTCTTCCAAGTTCCATTTGGCTTGCTGTAAATTTCCTAATCTATTTAACAATTCATTGTGTTCTTCTTCATGGATATCATTGGACGTTGATGGGAAGGGATCACATTTTTCTGGTGACTATAATATAAAACATTTATTAACTATCAAATAATGACAATTTTAAAAAAGAAAAAATATAAATTTTAATTACAAAAGTCAACTAATATTTGTAAATGTTTTATTTTAATAATAAAATATATATTCACTGAAGCAAGAAATTATAATTTGGTTTTACAAAAGATACAAAGAATAACAATGTTCCTGCAACATCATATCCAGTACTGTTATAACATAACAGTGCAACACCTGCATGGGAGGTATTTCTAAGACATTGCAAAACATTTTTGTGGTTTAATTTTTTGTTTGTTTGGGGGTGGGGGTACGTTCATGAAAAGTGCTATGTTGCCTTTATGTAACATTTAATGTCCAATAGCAAATATAACATGCATATTCAGGACAAAAAAATGTTAACGTCATATGCATATTTCCTACATCTGACAAACAGGAAAAGTCCAATGTTTAGTGTGTTAGCACAAATAACATAATCCTGTTGAATACATTTGGCTGAATACTAGCCAACCAGTCTTTGCCCCTACTCATATAAGCTGCATTCTTAGAAGAAAAGGATTAGATATCAATTTTAGTCTATTTTTAATTTACTTTGGATTCATTTATTTTCATTGGTATCAATTTTCATGGTATGAAAAAATAAGATATTTCCAGGGTACACAATTTTGTGGTTTTAACATTTATTCTATAAAATTTAAAGTAACTTTAAATTGGTATTTCTGCAAATATTTAAATTTGTGGTTTCTCAGTACCCACGAAAATTGGTATCCCATGAATATGAATGAATCCATACTTATTTAATTTTAAGTTTTGGCTTGCCCTGGTTCAGAACGGAAACTGTAACTTCCTGCTTAAAGAAAAGTACACCACCTTAAGACCACTGAGTTGATTTGAAGCTTAAAGACAAGTACACCACCTGAAGACCACTGAGTTGATTTGAAGCTTAAAGAAAAGTACACCACCTTAAGACCACTGAGTTGATTTAAGGCTTAAAGAAAAGTACACCACCTTAAGACCACTGAGTTGATTTGAATCTTCTGTTATATGCTCTGAAAGGATAAAACAATTTCTGATTTAAGGAGCAGGAATATATTGCTCTTATAATCCCTTTTCAGATTTTCTAAGAAATGACCTACTGAATGAAAACTGGATTTTTCATATTTTGATGGTAAAACAGTGAATGTGAGTTTGCTAAATAACTAACCTGTGGTGAACTGACTACACTAGTGTTGGCTTGACTATACCCTGTATTCCATGAAGATACTGAGCAAAAATAACTAACCTGAGGTGAACTGAAAACACTAGTGTTGGCTTGACTATACCCTGTATTCCATGAAGATACTGTTCTAAAAAACTAACCTGAGGTGAACTGACAACACTAGTGTTGGCTTGACTATACCCTGTATTCCATGGAGTACTGAGCTAAAATAACTAGCCTGAGGTGAACTGACAACACCAGTGTTGGCTTGACTATACCCTGTATTCCATGAAGATACTGAGCTAAAATAACTAACCTGAGGTGAACTGACAACACTAGTGGCTTGACTATACCCTGTATTCCATGAAGATACTGAGCTAAAATAACTAACCTGAAGTGAACTGACAACACTAGTGTTGGCTTGACTATACACTGTATTCCATGAAGATACTGAGCTAAAAAACTAACCTGATGTGAACTGACAACAATAGTGTTGGCTTGACTATACCCTGTATTCCATGAAGATACTGAGCTAAAATAACTAACCTGTGGTGAACTGACAACACCAGTGTTGGCTTGACTATACCCTGTATTCCATGAAGATACTGAACTAAAAAACTAACCTGAGGTGAACTGACAACACTAGTGTTGGCTTGACTATACCCTGTATTCCATGAAGATACTGAACTAAAAAACTAACCTGAGGTGAACTGACAACACTAGTGTTGGCTTGACTTTACCCTGTATTCCATGGAGTACTGAGCTAAAATAACTAACCTGAGGCGAACTGACAACACCAGTGTTGGCTTGACTATACCCTGTATTCCATGGAGTACTGAGCTAAAAATAACTAACCTGAGGTGAACTGACAACACCAGTGTTGGCTTTACTATACCCTGTATTCCATGAAGATACTGAGCTAAAATAACCTGTATTCCACAAAGATACTGAGCTCAATAACTAACCTGAGGTGAACTGACAACACTAGTGGCTTGACTATACCCTGTATTCCATGAAGATACTGAGCTAAAATAACTAACCTGAGGTGAACTGACAACACTAGTGTTGGCTTGACTATACCCTGTATTCCATGAAGATACTGAGCTAAAATAACTAATCTGAGGTGAACTGACAACACTAGTGTTGGCTTGACTATCCCCTGTATTCCATGAAGATACTGAGCTAAAAAACTTAACTGAGGTGAACTGACAACACTAGTGTTGGCTTGACTATACCCTGTATTCCATGAAGATACTGTTCTAAAAAACTAACCTGAGGTGAACTGACAACACTAGTGTTGGCTTGACTATACCCTGTATTCCATGGAGTACTGAGCTAAAATAACTAGCCTGAGGTGAACTGACAACACCAGTGTTGGCTTGACTATACCCTGTATTCCATGAAGATACTGAGCTAAAATAACTAACCTGAGGTGAACTGACAACACTAGTGGCTTGACTATACCCTGTATTCCATTAAGATACTGAGCTAAAATAACTAACCCGAGGTGAACTGACAACACTAGTGTTGGCTTGACTATACCCTGTATTCCATGAAGATACTGAGCTAAAATAACTAACCTGTGGTGAACTGACAACACCAGTGTTGGCTTGACTATACCCTGTACTCCATGAAGATACTGAGCTAAAATAACTAACCTGAGGTAAACTGACAACACTAGTGTTGGCTTGACTATATCCTGTATTCCATGAAGATACTGAGCTAAATAACCTGTATTCCACAAAGATACTGAGCTCAATAACTAACCTGAGGTGAACTGACTACACTAGTGTTGGCTTGACTATATCCTGTATTCCACAAAGATACTGAGCTAAATAACCTGTATTCCACCAAGATACTGAGCTAAATAACTAACCTGAGGTGAACTGACTACACTAGTGTTGGCTTGACTATACACTGTATTCCATGAAGATACTGAGCTAAAAAACTAACCTGAGGTGAACTGACAACACTAGTGTTGGCTTGACTATATCCTGTATTCCATGGAGATACTGAGCTAAATAACTAACCTGAGGTGAACTGACAACACTAGTGTTGGCTTGACTATACCCTGTATTCCATGAAGATACTGAGCTAAAATAACTAACCTGTGGTGAACTGACAACACTTGTGTTGGCTTGACTATACCCTGTATTCCACCAAGATACTGAGCTAAAATAACTTACCTGTGGTGAACTGACAACACTTGTGTTGGCTTGACTATACCCTGTATTCCATGAAGATACTGAGCTAAAATAACTAACCTGACGTGAACTGACAACACTTGTGTTGGCTTGACTATACCCTGTATTCCATGAAGATACTGAGCTAAAATAACTAACCTGTGGTGAACTGACAACACTTGTGTTGGCCTGACTATACCATGTATTCCATGAAAGATACTAAGCTAAAATAAGTAACCTGAGGTGAACTGACAACACTTGTGTTGGCTTGACTATACCCTGTATTCCATGAAGATACTGAGCTAAAATAACTAACCTGTGGTGAACTGACAACACTTGTTTTGGCTTGACTATACCCTGTATTCCATGAAGATACTGAAATAAATTTACTAACCTGAGGTGAACTGACAACGCTAGTGTTGGCTTGACTATATCCTGTATTCCACGAAGATACTGAGCTAAAATAATAAGAAGCAGACAGCAACTTGTAAAAAACCTTGTACCAAAAATCAAAGAAAAAAAATGAAATATATAATCCTGCTTTTGTTTGTCAAATGTGTGGGGGTTTATTTTTTGAAATAAGATATCACAAAGGTCTTTAATAAGAATTAACAATGCATTGTGTTGGAATTCAAGGTTTATTTGCATAAAATTTAAAAACAGACTTTTTGCTGGCTACACAAATCTATTTATTATTTGGTTGTTCTTTTATCTGTTATTCTTTATGCTATTCAAAAATTTATATTTGGAGTAAAACTTCTTTTTTATCATGAAACACATTATGGAAATGTTGTCAGCCTGTCCTGCTTTAGGCAGAAATGTTGATACAATCATTATTTTATGGTCTTATAGTTAATATCAGTTAAATTTTTCATGTGAACATTAAACAATATACCTTCTATCTTCTATCAATGAATCATTTCTGTCCACAGAACTCAGCAACTCTTCTACACCTATTAATTGATAGGAAATTTGTTTAGAAATATAAATGTACAATACATTTTTTTAATTGTGGATGTTTTGCCTGAAAAAGCCTGGCAAAAATTTCTAGCAGAACATGTGTACAATTTACATTGTAGCATGAATATGTATTCCTTTAAACTGATCAATGGTAAAGCATCAGGGTCTGTGTATAACCTGACCGATCATTATCATTTTGATCCAATTCATAATTGCAATGTTGCCAACCAGATTCTTACCTATTTTTGTTGACATTAATTTTAAAAATATGGTAAGTACATAGTTAAAGAAAACATTTTGAATCTGTCATTGAATTCCAAAAAGAAAAAAAATGTCCAACTGATTGCCCCTACTGTATATAGAAACTTCTATATATTTAAAATGATACTTTCTTATTTTGACTTTATTTTCTTGATATGAAAGTTACATGATGTAAATACCATACTTATCATTGATTCATCAGATATTTATATTTGGATGGGAGATAGAGTTTTTACAACATCTACTTAATTTTCATGCAGAATAACAACAAAATAATGAAAAGCTGGTTAGGTAGGAACAAAAGAATAAAAGGTTTAAAACAAATTATGGGTTTAAAATCAAGAATGGATAAGCATTGCTACACAATAAGAGCTATCAAAAGCATTTCAAAGGAACAAAGCTTTTCAACAAAAGAGTTTTTTTTTGTAAGGTTTGGGTGTAAACTTGATCAATATTTTGAAAGTCAGATGAGATAAAGTACTGTATCTTAAATAATTCTGATAGAGAATAATCTTAATAATGGTACTATAATACTTTTGATATTTTTTTGTGGACTGCTCTCTTAAATTTTAGATTAAAAATATCAATATTGGTGCTCTACATCATTAAGATAGGCAGCCCTATAAGCGAGTCAGCTTGGTCACTAAATGAAATTCTGTGTAGGAATGAACTAAGGAGCAGTCAAGCAAAATAATCTGGAAACTTTTATTCAAAATTGAAACAAAACCACATGGTGAAAGCAATAATTTTAATTTCAGATAGCTTATACTGTTATTTTCCCTCGACATTCCAAATTTAAGGTTTGTGATCATGATGTGATTTCTGAATAAGTCGGTCAATCAATTTCAAATAGTCACATTCTTCTTTCCTAATATACATGTATTCTGAAATATTAACAGCCTTCATGAACAATTTTTACTTTCTATCTAAAGTCTAAGCTAGTCAAAACCATTCCAAGAAAATCAGAGTGTTTTATTTGTACATCATGAATAAACTATTATTCACTAAAAAATGTAGTAAATACTGTGTACAGCATTTGTACAGGAGGATGACTCAAACAAGGAAAAATCCAGCCTTATACAGACAACAGTCCTCTATTAAAGATCATCAAAGGCTATTTTTATCAACACTTGAATAAGACCTCTCATATAAAAAAAAACATTTCATTTTGACAATCATTTTAAATGGCTATATTTTCAGTGGAAATGGGATGCCTCAAACAATAGGAACTACTAGTACTGTATATAATTAATACATTCATGCATACAGATGCTGTCAGAACTATCAACAAAGTTAACAAATTAAATGAGATAAATTTATATACAGTAAATGTTATTTTAAATATGTACATGCAATGCTGGATATTTTATCTGAAGATATATCGGAGAATAAGAGATGGTGTCAAATTTACCTGAATAAGACCCTTTAACAATATGTACAAGTATCAACTATATTTATAAATCTACTGTGTACTGTAAATTCACAATACTTTGTGTGCATTTATTATTGAGATTGTTAAACAATGGTCACAAAAGAGATTAATTTTTACGATAACAGAAAATGCTGCACACAAATAAAACTATAAACATGTAAAACGCAACTTGTTTATTTTACCACATCTATCACATTGCAATTTTTGCAATAATAAAAACATCCCAAAAATTTCTGCATTTACAGTATATAAATAGCAACATCATTAAATATATGTAATACTGTAGAAGTATCAATTTATGTGTACTAATTTTTTTAAATTTCTGTCATACTCAAAATGCTAAATATAGTATCTTAAAAATAAAATACTTGACAATACAGCCAAAAATATGTGCAAATCTGTTCTTATATAACAATGGCATGAAAATAAATATTTGTTATAAAGTCAGTAGTAACTATAAAACAAACATTTAACAAAGAGCAGGAATATTTATTCAAGATGAAATGGTATAGTGAAGAGTTAACTCACTCATAATAAAAAGAGCTGTCCATTCCCCTCACCCCAACCAAACCAATTAAATCTTTTCCTAGAATAGCCCTCACTTATCCAAATTTCACCCACTTTAAAACAAAGTCCTTTCATTGGTATTGAAAACCCAAAAATCATTTTAATATGAAAATAAAATAGTATGTACACATTAACATTATATAATGAAACCTTTGTAATAAAACAGCGATATCAGTTAATTAATTTAGGAGAATTTGAAAATGAAGAATGCCTACCTGTCCAATCATAAGAAGAATTAGCATTAATTTTAATATTTTGTTATGGAAGTCTATTAAATAAATAACAAGTTGTACAATTCCATTATGTACTGTGGATTCTGTGAAAGTTCAAATCACTTGTCCAGATTTGGCACAAATTTTGTTGAATTTTTATTTTATTTTTTTTATTGTGTTCAACTTTGTAATTGATTTGGCTTCCAACAGTTTTGATTTAAGTGCCACTGATTAGTATTATGTAGACAAAACATGGGTCTGGCGTACTAAATTATAAATTATATGCCTGTTACTTTTGATGAGTTTTAAGTACCAGATTTAGAGTGGTTCCAAATAAAATGACAAACACCATATTATCACTATTATAACCATGCTTCATTCAGATGGGGTATTAACAAGAGGTATGATATGTATTACGATATCTTACTTTTGTTATGTTTTGTATCAGTTAACACTTCCTGAAGTTTATCTTGTAATTTCTCTGCTCTTTTTCTCTCTGCATGTAACTGCCTTTTCAGATCTTTTAACTGAAACAAAAATATGTAATTATGAATAAATAAGTAGGTGGTTGCGAAAAAATAAGCTATACCCCTCCAAGAGTTACAACTAAAGCAATTAGAAAGAAAATATCTTTTACATGACTATGCAAGGTGGCAAAAAATTATATTACAAACTTTTCCAAGAAATAGATAATTTTTTAGTCCTTTGTATCTATCATAATTTTGAAATCGAAAAAACAGAGTGTAAAGTTTGCTTCTTTCCAACGACAAAAAATATTAAATTTATTTAACTTTTTATTATTTCATGTCAAAACGCAAAAAAAATCAGTTTAAACATTAATTTTAATTTCACTTACTGTTTTCAAACCTTTCTTCTCATGAATTTTTTTCTCATCCACACCATCTTTTAATTCCTGAAACAAAATAATTACTGCAAATCTAAGAACAAAATATTAGCAAAATATAATTTGACCTATATTGAATATTAATTTTATCAAATCCTCAATTCGGAAAACTTTAACCAAAATAACTTAGTCGATATATGACCCTGTTGTACAATGGATACATTAACACCTTAATGCCTAATATAAATTTCTATTATAAAGAAAAATCGTCAATATCATTTGGAATTAACTCAGGATTTCATATCTCCTTAAAATTAGCCATAAGCTCATTGGATCTCTCGCCCAGAGAGCACAAATCAAAATCCAGGATTCATGACAATTGACAAATTTATTTGTAAAAAGAGTTCATACCTGTGTGGAGTATGAGAGATTGATTATAGGTAGGGCCTGAATTATTCAGGTTAGGAAATTTTTGTCACTTGAAAGCCATTTGACAATAGACCAATTAAGAAATAGTGTTGCATTAGTTCAGACATTTTCATTGGTCCAGATGTCATTTACAAGGATGCTGAGACTGTCCAACATAATTTACAAGAACAAAAGTTGGATTTCTAAATGGTCTTTTGAGTTTTTTGTATGCCAATAACACAAGTAACAATACCTGTTTTAGCTTTTCTACTTTCTGTTTTTCATCATCTAGTTCTGTCTGAAGGGTCTTTTCTTTTTCAACATATTCCTGCAAAATTAGTGTTTCTTTATTAAGAAATCATGATTGTACAAGCATTTGATATTAAAGTTATATCTGTTGTGATATGTGCAGGTTTTAAATAGTAATAACAGGATGTTGTGCAGCACATACCCCCACTTGTAATTCAAAGTATCAGATAACGACAGAAGGAGGATGACAGATCCTGAAAATGGTCACACATTACAACGCATCACTGTGAAGCTGCTAACCAAGTATGGAGTGTTTCTGTTTAGTAGTACTTGAGAAAACTTTAAGTTCATTCAATTCATTGAAAATATATAAGAAGTAGGTGTCTGAAAGATTCAAAAAGTGTTTCTCACTTAACAACTCACCACTGCCAAGCTACTGACCAAGTATGAATTCTTTTTGTTTCTGTAGTACTTGAGACAAATGTGATGAAAAATCAATATTGAAAAATTCAAAATATCAGCAAACAAATTCTGAAAAGATGCAACAACTCATCACTTCAAAGCTGCTGATCAAGTATGAAGTCTTTCTGGTCAGTAGTATGTGAGAAATATCATGAAAGTAGTAGCTACTATACATTGTGGTTGTGGTACACAATAAAGCAATAAAATAAAACAAGATTTTGTGTTAGCCATGTTTCAATACAGTATTAGGACACAAATCTGACAGAATCTGTTGGGATCAGTTGTTTTCAAACAGTAAGAATAATATAGAGGTGAAAGATACCAAAGGTACATTCAAACTCTTAAGTCAGAAAATAAACTGACAATGCCATGGCGAAAAAAGTACACAAAACACAACATAGAAAACTAATGCATATCATACATTTTGCCATCTGTATCTTTACAATCCCCAAAGGAAACTGACCGTGTACAATGACAGTAAATAAATGTATATCAATTGGTCTTTCTGCCAATCATATCACATCTAATTTTTATATTTGAAAAGTAAATACATGTATATTACCTTTATTCTAGAAGAATGATCTTCTGCTGCACCTTCTTTCTCTGTCTGGTATTTTTCCTCTAAAGTAGCTATTTCTATATCATGTTTCTGGAGGATTTCTGTCATCTCTGCCTCTCTCTGTTCTTTATACAAATTAAACTGATCCTGCCAAAAAAAATTATACTTTTGATCCCTCGTAGTAAATTTTTGGTTTCTTTGGTCTATATCACATTTCTCAAAAGGAACAATGTCTTATCTTAACCTTATCCTCTGGTCTTCCTATCATTGGCAATCATACAGCATCTTATTTCTATTTTAGTGATTTCTTTTTTTTTTTCTTGTAGTGGGGGAGAGGTTCTCTATTTTAAAACAAAAGTAAACACACAAATTTTTAATAGACTTTATGTTGATTGTTAATAACTTGGGACAAATGAAATAGCTTTTAATATACCGTATCCCCTGCAGTCCATTTTGAACAAGAGTGCACACGCTGAAATGTCTCACCTGCTTTATTGACCATTAATTTTATGTTAATAGTCCTAAATATAAAGCTTTACTACAATTATCACATAAACTTAACATGTTCCAAGAAAATGAGGTCAAGGTCAGATAAACTAAACTGGAAATTCATGTACACCTTACAATCATTCCATACACCAAATACAGTTGACCTATTGCTTATAGTTTCTAAGAAACAAACTTAATCAAGAAAACTTAACATTGACCAATGAACCATGAAAATGAGGTCAAGTTTAGATGATACCTGCCAGACAGTCATATACACCTTACAATCATTCCATACACTAAATATAGTTGACCTATTGCTTATAGTTTAAGAAAAACAGACCAAAACAAAACAAGAGTGCACACGCTGAAATGTCTCACCTTCTATACTGACCATTGATTTTATGTTGATAGTCCTAAATATAAAGTTTTACTACAAGTATCATATCAACATTTAGGATCCAAGAAAATGAGGTCAAGGTCAGATAAACCAAGCCGGAAATACATGTACACCTTTAATACAATCATTCCATACAACAAATATAGATGACCTAGTGCTTATAGTATAAAAGAAACAGACCAAACCATGGAAATTTCATATTGACAAATGAACCATGAAAATGAGGTCAAGGTCAGATGAACCCTGCCAGACAGACATGTACACCTTAAAATCATTCTATGCATCAAATATAGTTGACCTATTGCTTATAGTATCTAAGAAACAAAGTTAACCAGGAAAACTGAACATTGATCAATGAACCATGAAAATGAGGTTGAGGTCAGATGATACCTGCTAGACAGACATATACACCTTACAATCATTCCATACACCAAATATAGTTGACCTATTGCTTAAAGTTTAAGAAAAACAGACCAAAACACAAAAACTTAACTTTTACCACTGAACCATGAAAATGAGGTCAAGGTCAGATGACACCTACCTGTTTGACATGTACACCTTACAATCATTATATACACCGAATATAATAGACCTATTGCTTATAGTATCTGAGATATGGACTTGACCACGAAAACTTAACCTTGTTCACTGATCCATGAAATGAGGTCGAGGTCAAGTGAAAACTGTCTGACAGGCATGAGGACCTTGCAAGGTACGCACATACCAAATATAGTTATCCTATTACTCATAATAAGAGAGAAATTAACATTACAAATAATCTTTTTCAAGTAGTCACTGAACCATGAAAATGAGGTCAAGAACAGTGGACATATGACAGACGGAAACTTCACAACATAAGGCATCTATATACAAAGTATGAAGCATCCAGGTCTTCTACCTTCTGAAATATTTAGCTTTTAAGAAGTTAGTTAACGCCGCTGCCAGATCACTATCCCTATGTCAAGCTTTCTGCAACAGAAGTCGCAGGCTCAACAAAAACCTTAACACTAAACCATGAAAATGAGGTCAAGGACAGATGACACCTACGAGTTGGACATGTACATCTTACAATCAATCCATACATCAAATAAAGTAGACATATTGCTTATAGTATCTGATATATGGATATATGATATATGGAAACTTCATAACATAAGGCATCTATATACAAAGTATGAAGTATCTAGGTCTTCCACCTTCTAAAATATAAAGCTTTGAAGTAACTAGTTAACGCAGCTGCCGGATCACTATCCCTATGTCGAGCTTTCTGCGACAGAAGTCGCAGGCTCGACAATAAAATCATGACCAGACAATTTTAAATTGAGGGAGTGTATTTCAAAAAAATAAGAAATATAAAACCTAAAAGCCCTCCTCTATTTGAAAATAAAATTCCAAGAAAACATAAAATTTGATCTCATGGGCATGACAGATAAATAGCTACGGTCAAAGTTATAAGGAACATTAAAAAAAAGTATTGGAACTGACTGCTGTGAAAATGAAGCCATTTGATAATATTCAGTGTGCAGACATGTTTCAGGCAACTGGCATTTTGTCTCCTTTTTTAATTTTTTTGCAGTTTTTGTAACAGGTACATGAGTTTGCTTAATTTGATGTTTTCATGTACAATGTATGCTTGCATTTTTTGTATTTAAATAATAACTAATACTACTGTACAACTGGTCAATTTTCCTTAAAATTGTACCTCAGTTTCTTTCAACCTTCTTTCTAACCATCCTTTGGCTTCTTCTAAACTGCTGACCTGCTGTTTTATCTCCTCAAACTGGGACTTCATCTTCTCTAACTCAATTACTCTTTTCTGCAAAATTATAAATATACTTGTAATAATTGAATCATTCTTTAAACTTTTAGTTTACAGATTTTTCATTTAGAATATTTGAGAATTAACAAATAATACTGCACACACTTCCCCCTTGTTACCTTTTCTCTTGAAACACATATTGGTTGACCAAAAACAATATCACTCTATTTAGTAATCCAACCTGAATGACCTGAGATTGTAAGCTTATTGAATCAGGATAATCTCCCTTTATGGATAAACAGATTAATATTTCAATTAAAGATGGGAAATGGTAAATTCATTATCAATGGAATAAATGATAAACTAACAAGATGACCATAAATGGTCTGCAGTTTTTAGAGTATTCATGTATATATACCACATACTAAATAAATTCTTTTTTAATAAATTGATTGCATATTAAATCAAATATTTATTATAATAGACATATTATTCTCTCCGAAGTCAGAAACCTCTTGTTAGTTATGTCTTAATGTCTTTTTTATTTACTATATGTGTTGAAGGTAGATCTTTGATAGGCTCTCCGAAGTCAGAAACCTCTTGTTAGTTATGTCTTAATGTCTTTGTTATTTACTATATGTGTTGAAGGTAGATCTTTGATAGGCTCTGTTAAACTTCTTCGCAACCTTCTGAAGATTTAGAGTTTGACCTATTGTTTAGACATTGCATTGCCCTTATAATAAAGACCATATGTGACGTCTAGATATCTTTTGATATTTTATTTGCCTTTTTAGGTTGCTGCCTCATTGATACAAAAGATAATAAAGGTGAGACATCAGAAATACAATTACATACATGTTCAGCATTTAGTTTGTCTTGTAGATTTCTGATTTCTATTTCTTGTTCTTCTTCCATTAGACGTAACATTTCCTGATGGCTGGCACTGTCTCTCTGGTATTTATTAGCTAACTCATCTAACATAGACTTTCTCTTTTCTGCAACCTAAAACATCAAATTCAATAAGTTTACTTTCTACTAGTCTTTATTTCTTTATCTTACCAACAAATATTTTTGAACTAAAATGTCTAAAGTAAAGCAATTAAGAAGAGGTTACTTGTGGTAAAGAATGGTCTTATTTTTTGTCTTACATAATAAACTAAGATATGTCTTTCCTGAGTGTTATTTAGATAGTATATTATAAATGCAAATGTAATTTAAATGGCAACACTTTTATATATTAACTATGCAAAAGTTTCAAATGCAATGGACCATGACTGAGGGGACTTGGACTAATAACATCCATTCAAACAAGAAGACATGGTCAACCTATGCTTCTTGAAAAATACATTTCAGTCTTAGATACATGATTTTTTTCATTAGTTATTATTGGCTTTGAACTAGCTGTCAGTAACTGTGAGTACTCACAGATCTATACTTAGTGTATTTCTGTTGTGTGGATGTATAAGTACCCATCCACGTCCACTCTGTGATTTTGTTAAATGTATTTCTATTTCTATCCATCTGATGAGTTAAGCCTTTTTCAACTGATTTTTATAGTTTGTTCTTATCTTGTACTGTTACACCACTGTCCCAAGTTAGGGGGAGGGTTGGCGCCTTTAAACAAGTTTAACCCTGCCACATTCTGTATGTGCCTGTCCCAAGTCAGGAGCCTGTAATTCAGTGGTTGTCGTTTGTTGCTGTGTAACATATTTGTTTTTCGTTCATTATTTTGTACTTAAATTAGGCCTTTAGTTTTCTCGTTTGAATTGTTTTACATTTGTAATTTTGGGGCCTTTTATAGCTGACTATGCGGTATGTGCTTTGCTCATTGTTGAAGACCGTACGGTGACCTATACATTGACCTATAGTTGTTAATTTCTGTGTTATTTGGTCTCTTGTCGAGAGTTGTCTTATTGGCAATCATACCACATCTTCTTATTTTTATATTCACAGATGATGGATGGTCAACACCCCATCACTATACAATGCTGTGTTCAGCAATAGTGCTGCAGTAGGGTTTAAAAAGAAATAATAAAATCCTTACCTTATTAACTTCTTGCCATTGTTGTATATGTCCTTCTCTCTCTTGTTGTAAAGCATATAACTGGTCTAGAGTTTCCTGGTTAGCATTTTTACAGGCCTGTAATTAATTTTCATACATAATAAAATAATAATTCCATTTTCAAATCTTTTTTTAAGGTAGATAGGGTGTCTTCCTCCATCTTGGATTTTGAAATACCAGAAAATAATCGGTCTAGACCTTTAATAAAATGTGCAAATTTTGAGAGTAGTGGGTAATTCATGTGTAAGAATTTACATTTTAATATAGAAAATGACATGTTTAATCATATTTATGGTTGTATTTTACAAAAAACAGAATACTTTTGTTTGATTCAATTTTTTCCAACTTGGCCACATAAGGGGAGGCAACTCAAATGTAAGGGCAGATAATTCAAATATTGTTACTTTTACAATGGGTAGGCCACAGACCACAATTAAATTCCCCTATTAGTTCTTTATAACGTTTTGTTTCATTAAAAAAATTGCACCTTGCATTTTTGTCAAATCTTTTGTGTGTGTAATGTATAGTACTAGTCCAAAAATATATCCAAAATTCAGAAAGATTGAACCAATGACTCTTACAAATTTAGCCAATACACCTCCATACCCCTATGGACAAGTCAAGAGATGTTCCGAAAACTGTAAATATCACCTTTTTGCACCTGGCCTAATCACTCTTTCCATATCAAAATCAGTTAAAATTCAACATCCAAAAGTTTATTTCACCTCTCTTCTTTTATTTCCACCCAAAAAAAACTAAGAAATGAGTGACGAAGGGAAAGAAAAAAAATTAAGAAAAACTACACTCTAATTAAAAGGAACTATATTCGTGGACAACGAAAAGCGGGATCATTAATTGTGGTCTTGGGCCTATTAGGGGTCTAAAACTTGACCAATTATAATAAAACTTGGCATGATTTAAGCTTAGTGTATTATAAAACAGTTTACAAAGTTTCAAAGCCATATGATACCAATTATAAAATATGTGGCATTTTTTATATCTGAACTTTGGGTGCTGAATTGTGGCGTTGAATTAGAACAATTTCAACTATCAAATTTGGGCTTCTAAAAACCAAAAAATACCAAAACTTACATTTTTTAATGTTTCTATGCATAAGTTATCACCTATTAAAAGCAACAGATAGCATACTTTATGTTTCAGACTTATAAAAAATGGCCAGAAGTAAATTTTATATGAGCCTGTGCCAAAAAATAGAGGTTTTCAAATGAAGTCAGGCCTTATATGAAATGTAATATTTTTCACGTACCACAATTTTCTGAAGTTGTTAAGTTATAAAAAAACCTTTTACATGTTATAAATGTACTTTTAATGGAAATATAAGTTTCAAATAGCATAACACATGTGAATAAAATGGTCTTCAGCAATGTCAAGCTTAAAAAAACAGGTTGTCAATTTAGGTCGTTCCCCACATTTGCATATTAAAAAGCATATAAATGATATGGTAGATAGAGATATGCTTCTTTTTGCTCAAATCTTTGTTTAGATATGATAAAACATGGAGCCTGGATGTAACATGACTGTCACTTTCAACTATATATGTAGACAGTATGATTTGATGCAAAGTTATTTACTTTACTTTTTAAAACCGGCATGAAATTTCAGCCTCAAAAGGCCAATATTTTAACCACTAGCTATCAAACAAAAGAAAATAAAGGTAGTCTGTGAAACAGACAAGGTCAAACAACCAGTAATAAGTGCTTTTGATACAGATTCAGTGAAATCTGCTAAAAGGAATTCAACTTGTATGTGCATAGAACCTCATTTTTCACTTGCTTCATACTGACCGTTAGACTAAGACCATTAAAGCAGCACATTTTGCACTCTTATTCTGATTTTATCTACTTTTTTTTGTGTTCAGTGTTCAAAAATGAGTTAAACATCTACATTAGACACCACAAACACAAATAAAAAACCAGAAAAATCTGTCAGAGAGAAAGTAAGCATGCTACTTTTGTAAAAATATTGAAACAACTGAAAAAGTTCAATTTTGGGCATGTAGGCTGAAATGTCACTTTTTTACAAAATTTCTATCAAATAAAAGTGGAAATCATTTATTCTCATGTAGTTTGACAAATTAATACCAATAGATCATTCAGGGAAGTTGTCAAAGTACAAATTCAATATTTCCTGAATTCACCTCTTAGGCCACAGACCACAATTAAATTCCCCTATTAGTTCTTTATAACGTTTTGTTTCATTAAAAAAATTGCACCTTGCATTTTTGTCAAATCTTTTGTGTGTGTAATGTATAGTACTAGTCCAAAAATATATCCAAAATTCAGAAAGATTGAACCAATGACTCTTACAAATTTAGCCAATACACCTCCATACCCCTATGGACAAGTCAAGAGATGTTCCGAAAACTGTAAATATCACCTTTTTACACCTGGCCTAATCACTCTTTCCATATCAAAATCAGTTAAAATTCAACATCCAAAAGTTTATTTCACCTCTCTTCTTTTATTTCCACCCAAAAAAAACTAAGAAATGAGTGACGAAGGGAAAGAAAAAAAATTAAGAAAAACTACACTCTAATTAAAAGGAACTATATTCGTGGACAACGAAAAGCGGGATCATTAATTGTGGTCTTGGGCCAGAATGTGTTAGGAATTTATCTATTTTATTATGTAGCAAGAAAACGGGCTCGGTGACCCCATTTTTTCTTTTTCTTATCTGAAAGTATAATATTAGAGCTATCTTCTCATATTTTATCTCAAAATTCTATGGTGCAGTTTTCGTTTTATAGCAGAAAATTGCGTTTTCCATGCATAATCTATACAAAATCTGTCAATTTTGCACAACCTGTAGCGTGAAAATAAGCCCTGTGACCCATTCTTTTTATTATTTTTTCCAAAAAAGCATGATATAAACTACATTTTGGCAAATTATTAAAAAATTCTATGGATTATAATTTAGACACCCCATCTACCTTAAACATGTAAACAACTATCCGCTCAAATAAGGTATGTTGTCCTTAAATTGCTACAAGTTTTTAAGATTCTTGTGATATGGAAAATAGAGTTTATGCTCTAATCGTCTTAAACAGCATTATTTAGCTGCTTTTTGTTGAGCCTGCGACTTTTGTCGCAAAAGCGAGACATAGCAATCCTACATTCCGTCTGCGTCGTCGGCCACAAATATTCACTCTGTGGTTAAAAGTTTTTGAAATCATAATAATTTTCTAAAACTATCCTTGATTTATACCAAACTTGGACATAAGCTTGTTTATGATCATAAGATAGTATCCAGAAGTAAATTTTGTACAAAAAAAATCCTGTTTATCCGTATTTTACTTATAAATGGACTTAGTTTTTCTGCCAGTTAACATTACATTCACTCTGTGGTTAAGGTTTTTAAAATTTTAATAACTTTCTTAAACTATCCTGGATTTGTACCAAACTTGGACAGAAGCTTGTTTATGATCAAAAGCTAGTATCTAGAAGGAAATTTTGTCAAAATTTATTTCCTGTTTTTCCGTATTTTACTTATAAATGGACTTAGTTTTTCTTCCAGTTAACATGACAATCAGTCTGCAGTTAAAATTTTTTAATCATGTATTAGATTCATAAACCATCCTGGATTTTTACCAAACTTGGATAGAAGCTTCTTACAATCAAAAGATTCTATCTAGAGGTAAATTTTTAATAATTTTTTCCCCATTTTTGTTGAGCCTGCGACTGACAGCAAAAGTAGGTGAGACACTGGGTTCCGCGGAACCCTTACGAAATTTTTATACAAATGTTTCCTTTGTATTTTAAATGAAAATTTGTAACATCAATTTCATATCAATTTCTTTTCAATTTTAAGTTACTTTATACAAACCTGTAACTGAGTAACGAGATCACCCTTCTCTAGTAACAGTTTGGAATTTTTGTTCCGTAGTTCCTCTAATTGTTGATCATATTTTGTAGAACATTCTTTGACTTTCTGACTATTTACAATGTCAGATGCATCAATCTAATAAGAAAAAGTATAATTTACAAGTACATGTGTATCAATATTTTAATAAATGTTGATCGTAGAGAGCTTTTGAAGATAACCTCTTTAAAAAACAATTTCAATCTTGACCTCCATTTTGTCATCAGTAAAAATATACTAAAATTTGAAAAGCTTTGATTGAACGGTTTATAAGTTACTGCACAGAAACTGCCCACTGTAGCACACCATTTTAATGACTGGTGTTTTCCTTCAGAAAACTTGGCTAAAAAGTGTGAACTAACCTGTTGCTGAAGAGTTTGTAGTTTACTATGTAAATGTTTGACAGTCTGGTCTGATGAGTCATGACTTTCTTCTAATGACTGAAAAAAACAATTACACTTTATCAATATACTCAAATTCATATGTTTTTTTCCTGATTGTTGGATAATGTTATGATTACAACCAATCCTATATCTTAAAAAGGTATATTATAAAAGAGATACAAATTTTAGAAAAACTGGAATCATTATCTTTCGGTTTGCTTCAATATCAAAACCATTCCTGCCCACAAAATATAAAACCTAAAAAAATTCTTCAATCCTATAAGGGTTTGTGGTAAAACTCTTGTTCTAGGAGACTGAAATGCCTAGTAAAAGTTCTGTCATTTCTTCATTAGAAGTCTGTCTCAAACAAACGGCCCTTCACAGAAAAAAGATAGCTTTCTACATTCTTCCACTATAAGTTCACACTAATATATTAATAGCCCTCTTTTCACAAAGTATAACTGATGTTTGTATGGAATCAAATTAACTTTCATTGAAAAAATCATGAATGTCTCCTGCACATTTTTCTTCATTTGCAATTTCCGATTAAAGATTTTAATGAAAGAGATATAAGACTATTAACTTGCCTGTTTACTTCTTTGAATTTCTTGCTGCAGTTTATTTATTTGGTCAGTATAATATATTTTGTCTCTGTCTCTACTTGATTGGGATTCTTCTAGTTTTAGGCTATAAATGAAAAGAAAATAAACGTATAAACAAGTATGTGCAAATTACCAGAAGTATAAGTGTATAACAGGATCAAACTTGGAGAAACAAAAATTTTTCCGGATTTGGTTTATTTGCAAATAAATGGGGAATGTGTCCATGGGACACAGATGATGCCCCCGCTTGCATATCATATAAAGCTATAAAGGGACAAAACTGAAGAAAGTTAAAAGTGACACGACCAAAATCTGTAATTGATTTGAGTATTGTGGTAATAAGTATTGTGTATAAGTTTCATAACATTTGGTTGAGGCAAACTTACGTTAGAGAACAGAAACGAAAAAATTCAGCAATTTTTCCATTTGTAAAGGGGCATAACTCTAGAACAGTAAAAGTGATACCACCAAAATTCCATCTTGATCTGTGTTTTGTGATAATAAGCATTGTGTATAAGTTTCATAACATTTGGTTGAGGCAAACTAAAGTTAAAGAACGAAAACGAAAAATCAGCAATTTTCCATTTGTAAAGGGGCATAACTCTTAAACGGTTAAAGAGACACCACCAAAAATTCAAAATTGATCTGTGTTTTGTGGTAATAACATTGTGTACAAGTTTCATAACATTTGGTTGAGGCAAACTAAAGTTAGAGAACAGAAAAAAAATTTCAGCAATTTTTCCATTTGGAAAGGGGCATAACTCTTGAACAGTTAAATTGACACCACCAAAATTCAAACTTGATCTGTGTTTTGTGGTAATAAGCATTTTGTATAAGTTTCATAACATTTGGTTGAAGCAAACTAAAGTTAGAGAGCGGAAACCAACTTTGGGACGTACGGACGGACGGACGTACGTACAGACAGACAAGGGTAAAACTTAATGCCCCGTCCGCTACGGATATTTGTCTCAACAAATATCTCATGGTTTCTCTCCAATGAAACCTTTTATCAAAAGTTCTCAATTTAAATTTTCAAAATCAAAGATTTAGAGTAATTAGGAATATTTGAAATTAGAAATAAAGAACAAACTTCATATTCTTTCTTTATGCAATAAAAGACTAATGCTATTTGTTTATAAAAATATACAATAAATGAAAAAAAAACTTTAGCGAGCAGGCTCACATTTACCACAACCCACACAATAAATATGGAAAATGTTACCATCCCTCTCTTTAACAAATGTGCTTCGCCCAGCACAGCTGGATACGACCGCAGAGGTCCAACCCTGAACAGTTGGGGCAAAAATGGACACAATACTCAAGCTTGATACAGGTCTGAATTTGGATTGAAATTAAATTTTTGACACATTATAGGTTTCTGACACAGAATAAATATAGTCAAAGAACTTGAAATTGGTTATATGATTTGAATTTATATTCAATTGAAGATTTCTTGCTGTTGTGCAATACACTGTGCTGATGTGCAATACTTAGTAAATCTGTTTTCAGACTATATACAAAGAATTAGCATAATAAATTGTTACCCCCTATTTTTTTGGGGGGAAATTTGATAATTTCTTACATCTTGAGGAAAAAAATTGACCCCCTCCCCTAAAACCCCTAAAAAAAACAAGTTATTGTCCTGAAACTAGAAAAATGCTTGTTTTGGGCCCCTTTTTGGCCCCTTATTCCTAAACGGTTGGGACCATCACTCCCAAATACAATCCCAACCTTCCTTTTGTAATATTGAACCTTTTGCTTAAATTTCATAGAAATCCATACACTTAAACTAAAGTAATTGTCCGGAAACCAAATGTCTTCGGACGACGACTACGTGATAGCAATATACGAAATCATTTTTTTTGCGGTTGTATAAAAATAGCCCCTCATTCTAGATTATCTTTACTGGATTATATTTTTACAAAAGATTTAGATTGGTCTGATAACTGAACTCATCTATGATTTTTGCCAGTGGAAAAGTTATTTCCAATTTGGAAAGAATCAGACAAATTGTGATGAATAACTAAACTTTGATCAGGATGTCTTTTGTACTTTACCTCAAACTATATAACTGTTAGAAGAAAATCTTTATCTACTCTCAAAACCTAATAATTATATATTAAAAACTCTCCAAGTATCACTCTTTAAATTCATTGTAAAACAACTTGGAAGAGTTTGAAGTAATGTTTTATTTTCCAATAAAATGAAACACCAATCGAAGCCAGTGCTTTCCATGACAAAGTTTAAGCAATGCTTAGGATAATATAAAACTTTTTGTCACAAAACTTTAAAACATTCCACAATTTATTGATTGATTGGTGTTTAACACCACCATCAGTACTATTGGCTATGGCTATTTCGTGGCAGTCAGTTTTATTGTTGGAAGAAACTGAGTGCATAGAGAGAACCACCAACCTTCACAGGAAAAATGACAACACTAATCAATTAAGAATGAAATGCATCTGCCATGTGCCAGATTTTTAAATTGAAAACAATTCATTAATCTCTTTATATTTAATATTACGAACACATGGAAAAGTGATAAATAAGTGCTTATATTTTACATAATTTAGTATATCATATTTCTTACTTTGTTTCTTTAAATAGTTTTTCCTTTTCTTCTTGTAAATGGATGAAGCTACAAAAAATATCAACCTTTTAGTAGAAAATTAGTTAAATTATAGTTATTTGTCTCTTCATAATTATAAAACCATGAGAGAACCTATTTAAAGACCATGGTATTTGTCATCTTTTTTTATCAAGCAGATTCATCAGGAAACACTGAAATGTTTTGGGATACTGTTCAGTTGGAATATATCGAATCAGTTAACATACACCGATTTATATTTTTTTATTGTACATTACTATTTTCCTTGGTTCCTAATAAAGGAAGTCAAGTGCTTTCCTCTAGCATGTAAAATTCAGTACCAACTATATAAAGGTCAGTCATATAATTGTAGAGATGCTTGTTTCACTTAGAAGGATTAATTTAGACAACTAAAAATTTTCTCATTCTTTTGATTTTTACAACATACCTTTCTTGTTTCTTCTTTAACTTTTCTGATGTCTATAGAAATAAATAAATAGCACTTAAAATTTATACAATTAGCTACACATCAATTTTTTGTTTGTTTGATTGTGATAAAAGGAAATATTTGGCAAGGTCCATTACAAGGAAATTCTACATAGTTGCCAACTCACATGATATTCGCGTGTAATACAAGCTTTTTCAACGGTTTACACGCGAAGATTTTGTCACATGGCGTGTACACACTTTTCACCACTTTACACATCATTACATGTTTTTCGTTGTTTTGATTTTTTGGTTGTTAGTGATATCGCGATTCTAGGGTCTTTTCATTATTAGACGATAAATACTGAAGACTTCGAAGTATTTGTTGGGTCGTCATTGTTTATTTTTCGATATGGACGAACAACAAAAGCCCTTCAGGTAAGTTTGCAAGTAGTTTTTAAGGTTGTTTTACTTTCTTTCTTTCAAATTCACTTTAGGGAAATGTCCAGCAGAAAGAGATCGCTTTCTGGACCTGTACCGTCGTCTTAAGAGCGGAGTGCTAAGCGAAAACATTACGTGTGTACATACCAAAAAAGTTGGGAGTCCGAATCGGGCATATTAATTACAAAGTATTATGCATCTTAAACATTATCAATCATTTGCAAGCATAAAAACATGTGTGAGAGGAGAACTAGCTATTTGATAAAGCATTCAATGGTATTCAAATTATAAAATTATTTTTCTTTTTCAGTTTCAAATCTAGCAAACAGATTTCCACAGGCCATAGGGGATGGGAATACCATATAACTGTTGGATCAGTTCTCAGAGTATCAGCTGTCTTCTCCTGATGAACTACCCAGCTTTGACCAGGAAATAGCAACATTCTGGGGAGCAATGGCATATATAGATGACATTTTTAATGACAAAAAACATTATGACATACTTTCAAAGCTTGCTAAAGCTATTTTAGTACACATACACTCTATCTTTATCACATGTGGTTTTATTACCTTATCTAATTCTTCTTGTAAATGATCCACTTTTACTTTGTTTTCATTCTATAAATCATGTAGAATAAAAGAAAAAAAAATATAATATACATGTATCTAATGATAACAAGTTCATACAAATATTGAATTACCAACAATAATGTGAACTTTAATATATGAATATGCAGCTTAAGTTTCAGTGTTCTCCCCCAGGGTACTGTAGCACCATGATGTTATCTGAATAGGTTTTAATTACAATGTATTGTTAATTTATGCTAAATTTAAGGAAAATGTGCCATTTCAAATCCTGTGGTGCTATTTGAATAAAAAAGCTAGGGAGCACACTGTTGTAATTATCAGCTAAATCTGTAAAATAATATTTGAAACCAAAACCATGCATAAATAAACCAATTTATCTTTTGCAGCAAATTGTTTCAATATTATTTTTTTCTAAAGCTCTTAAAGTACAATGTACTATAAGATATTTAAAATGACAATGCTCAGGTACAACCACTTGCCTTTGTTGAATTTACCTCAGATTAACATATTCTCTACCTAACCAATTTTTGTTTCAACATCTGGCTTTTTTCACTGCCTCTGATGAAATTAAAACAGAATATACAAGAAGTTGTATGAAAATTGATTGACGAAGTATGGTTTTGGTTGTAAAAAAATTAAGATTTACCTAATGCAAAAATTAAACTTTAACCTTGAATGGCTTAGATTATAGACATTGCAAGCACAATAAAACACTGCAAGTGTTTTTATCCCTTTATCAGACAGAAAAGGTAGATCGGGTTTTCTAAGGGTTTTAGTTGTCCCTGTAAGTAAAATCAAACAAGCCTCACACCTCTTTTTATTCATATCATATACTTTTTGCTTTAAAATTTTTGACAGATAGGGGCCAAGTTTAAACTGAAAGGTCTTTCAAATATTCATGTATATGCATACTATTTAAATGCTGCTAGGAAGGGATGCAGGATATAAGAAATATCTTTGAGGGTTAAAAGTCAAGTTTAAGGTAGGTTTTATTCATACTTTACCTTTTGTTTCTGTCAATAAAATCAATTGAAATTTAGAATACTTGCTCTTCTTAATGAAAAAATATTGTATTAAGCTTTAACTCATTTAATTTTACGATTGTAAAGGCTCCACTTAGTATGTATCTAGGATACTTACCAATGATCTTATTAAATATTATAAAAGAACAGTGTTCTAATGTCCCCTGTTACAGCACATATTTTTATGTACAAGGGCAGACAACCCAATAATTATCTATTTTAACTGCAAAGATCATTCATTTTTCCATGACATGGTTAATATAAACCTTCTATAAAATTTTCATAAAAATCTGACAAGACATGTACACCTGTAGACCTTACAATACAATATTTCAAATAATCATATTTTTAAGAGGAGCAACTCACATAAAATATTTGATTGTCGCTGATTTTATAACATTACTGATATAAACCTTTGATATAAGTTTCATAAAATCCAACAAGAAATGTGGACATGTGATGATATCTTAAATGTCATTTTGAACCAATTGAGACACAAAAAAATTGAAATAAGATTCCTTTTTGAACCCCTTACAGATAAAAAGGCAATGCATGGTGAATAAAAGTTGGTCTCTTGGGAGGCATTCAACCAATACACTTCTAGAATTTTTTAAACTGGAATTTGATATCTTATTTGCATCCCATTGGATGCCATAACATTGAAACCTAATCAGAGAAAAAATAAGACAGGAGTATCCAAACTCCAGCCTAATATATGATAAATTCAAGAGTAGGTCATGCAAAGGTATGGAAATTTTGTTACAAAAATCAATCATTTTATGAGGACTTGGAAGTTTAGGGCATTATTTTTTTTAAAAACTGGTAAAGTCATAACAAACATCACAATATAAACAAACTTATGTCAACAGTTTTATAGCATGCAACAATTACAAAACATTTTGTACCTGTTTCAGTAAAAACATTTTTTATAAAGAGCTTTTTCAAAGAATAAAGTACCATAACTCCTCAATGTCATATCAGAAATTTATAAAAAAAACTAAAGGGAGGTTATTTTAATAGATATAAACCAGTCACCAAATTTTATTGAAAACTGCTCAAAGCACTTTTGAGTTATTGTCTGAAAAACTGGAAAATCCCCCTTTTTTAATGAATAAAACCCCATAACTCAGAAAATCTAAAATGTATAATGTCGAAAGAGAGCTCACGTCAATAGATATAAACAATTCACCAAAGTTTCATGAAAACTGCTATAAGCATTTTTGAGTTATAGTCCGAAAAATTGGAAAATCCCCCTTTTTTAATGAATAAAACCCCATAACTCAGAAACGTAAAAATCTAAAATTCAAAAAAATCGAAAGGGAGCTCACGTCAATAGATATAAACAGTTCACCAAAGTTTCATGAAAACTGCTCAAAGTGTTTTTGAGTTATTGTCCGACATGTTGACAACGGACGGAGGGACGGACAGAGGTATACCATAATACGTCCCGTAAACGGGCGTATAAAAATGACAAATGTATGCATTACAGGTATACCATGAAGAAGATATAGTTATCATAACTTAAAAAAAAAAATTATCTTATAGCTTTAAGGTTAATGAAATCTTCCTGTGTGAGCTCTATTCATATTGAAGATATCAATGATGTAAGACAAATACATATCAATTTCAGAAATAAACCCACCTCTATTGTAGATAACTTCTCTCGCAGCATTCTCTTTTCTTCTAGCTCTGTGTCCAGTTGTAATTTGAGCACTGAAATGACAATCAATACAGTGTATTTTATTCAAAAATAGAAAGTATTAAAGTAAATTCAAGTGTGTAAACCTGAAACTTTATAAATGATTAATAAACTGTTGTTGATTACATTAAACATACATTTGTTGTTGGTTGGTGTTCCATATATTTTAACCCTTCTCCGACAATTCCTTTTATTCATATGTAGATAAGAAAAATAAATAAAAGTAGCATTCCTGTTTTAAAGTTTTAAACATATGATAGTTACAATCTTTAAAAATTTTAATATCTTATTAAACTTATTGCTCAAAAACATTTTGTTGATGTATTTGAATTCTAAGATACATATTTTCTGTCGTAAGTATATATGTATTTGATTGATGAAATAATTGTTGATAATGGACTGAAACAGTGACTATTTCTTCCATTTTTCATAACATATCTGTACTAGGGTGGAATAGGGTTATTAAAGTGGGAGTCTTTTTCAGTTTTGAATTCAAATTTGAATGCAGAAAGAAATTATAGATTTTATCCAGCGCAAAAAGAAGAAATGCACAGTTCTAGACTAAATATCACTTTCTTTTCATGAAGAATTCATACTTTTATTTCCCATTCTTCTACCAACCTTCCTTTTTTACTAGCACATACATAAGCATCATTTACACCCCTCAAGTAAAGGTATATGAAACATTAGAACAATTGCTTCCTGAACAGTAAACAATAGGATTATGCTTTACCATTAATTTCATGCCCATGTTCCTCTGAAGAAACCTGCACTTCATCTTCAACCTTTAATGCTCTTATTGATGGTTCTGAAAATAAAACTTTCACTGTAATTATATTAAAATTAAATATTACTCTCAGTTTAAAAAGTTTGAACATATGGTTACTGATGAATAAAATGTATCTATTGTATACATGTATTTGACAATATTAGTCCTATTGCAATAAATAGTATTGTATGAAATATATTTTCCCTTATGTACCCCCAATCATACTTTTATACTTATTAATCCTTCCAAGTTCTTTTTTTATAGTTGTTTCATACAGCAAAAAAATAAATAAATAAATAAAAAGGCAAGCAATGTGTTTCATTTTCAAATCTCATTAAAGAGATAAGTTATTGTTGCATACCAGTACCGATTTCTTCCTGCTGACCACTTTCCTCATTCTCTTTAGCACCAGTAGTGGAGGACTCTGTTTTGTGTAGCTGATCATGTAATTTATCAAACTTATCCTGGCAAGCTACAAAAAATGTTTTTAAAATAAATATAACTCTTTGTATCACAAGGAGATCTTAACTACAAAATTCCTTATACTAAAATCCACGTTAAAAGATATTATACATTCAAAATCCTACACAGATGGTTTAATATGTGCAGGTGCCATCTTTGAATCAGGGTTATGACCAGGATCTGGATATTTTTTCACACAATTTTTGTAATTTTTGGGATGACTTGACAGTAAAAGTCCTTTTTCAAACTCTGAATTTCATACTACATTTACCTAATCAACGAAGTTATATTGACAGTTTCATCACATTAAATTCATGAAATTTCTTACCGTTTTTTTTTTAAAAACAAATTCAAAAACGATTTATGGAATGCAACCTATTAAAATTAAAATGATTTGAATGACTTAAAACTGTTAATTTCTCAGGAATCAACAATTATACTTTCCATTTTGAGAAATGTAAATAAAATAATAAACAGAAGTTAGAAGTTAATCATAAATTATGAGTGATTCTAGATTCATCTAGGGAGTTATGATGTTTTGTTAACAAACCTGTTAAGTTTTTCTGTAAGACCGTATTTTGTCTACTGATTTCATCCTCCAGCTCTGTGTTTTTCTATGTTTTGTTAACATACCTGTTAGATTTTTCTGTAAGACGGTATTTTGTGCCTGTAATCTTCTGATTTCATCCTCCAGCTCTGTGTTGTCTATGTGTTGAGTGTTGACAGCTGTATCTTTAGCACTCTGTACTTCTTTTAATTCCTTTTCTAGAACTTCATTTGTTGCCACCAACTTAAAATATATGATGAAATAATAAATGTTTATTTTTTTGTCATCTGAAGTGTGAACACAATATTAAAAGATAACGAATTAAACATGTTGTTTGTAATATGCCAACGAGACAGCAACCCAAGGGCCCAAAAACCAATCAAGTGGTGATTATACAGTCTTCAGAAGTTAGAAAATGACTATCCAACATGTCAAACTCTATTAATTATACAAAGCCTCAAAAATGTGATATACTTATTATCTCATGACCACAAACTCCAAAATTGACAAAAATGTAGGAGCATGTACCTCAAACTTGGGGATACATTCTACATGTACCCCATTGGCAATAGTGATGATACTATTTCACACAAAAACTCATTTTAATGTCTTTTTCTGTAATTTCTAAGCCACAGACAACTGGAAAATCAATTATTGATTTAATCAATTTATCAAAAACCAAAAAAATAGATTTTTTTATTCATAAGTATTGAAATTTCTATCATATAATAAGTACCAATAACCTGGTTTTCTGCTTATTGATTCTTATCAATTATGGACTTTTGACAAAGTCAATGTTATATATGGACCTGTTCAGATTATATTGACCGAGGAAGAAGTCCGAGGTTAAATATAATTTAACAGGTCCATATATAGCATACTGACTGAATGAAAGTCCTTAATTTATATATTACATGTATATATATGTTAGTTTGAAAATGATATTGACTCGATGTTACTATTTTTGGAAATGATATTGACTCAATGTTACTATTTTTGGAAATGATATTGACTCAATGTTACTATTTTTAGTAACATGGAGTCAATATCATTTTTAATAAACTGCTTTGCTGAGCGCAGCTGGATACGCCCGCATAGGTCCAACCCTGAACAGTTGGGGCAAAAATGGACACAATATTCAAGCTTGATTCAGGTCTGAATTTGGATTGTAATTAAATATTTGACATATTATAGGTTTCTGAATAAATGTAGTCAAAGAACTTGAAATTGGTTATATGAATTGAATTTATATTCAATTAAAGATTTCTTGCTGTTGTGCAATACTTAGTATATCTGTTGTCAGCCTATAAACAAATAAAGTTCAATTAATTTTCAATGTCATATTAGAAATAAATGAAAATAAAAAAGGAGCTTACATCAATAGATATAAACAATTCACCAAAGTTTCATGAGAATTGGTGAGAGCATTTTTGAGTTATTGTCCGAAAACTGGAAAATCACCCCTTTTTTTAATGAATAAAACCCCATAACTTAGAAATGTAAAATGTAAAATTTATAAAATTTTAAAGAGAGCTTACATCAATACATACAAACAATTCAACAAAGTTTCATAAGAATTGCTGAAAGCCTTTTAGAGTTTTTGTCTGAAAACTGGAAAATCCCCCCTTTTTTTATGAATAAAACCCTGTAACTCGGAAACGTAAAATCTAAAATTTATAAAAATCGAAAGGGAGCTCATGTCAATAGTTAAACAATTCACCAAAGTTTCTTGCAAGTTGGTGAAAGCATTCTTGACTTATTGTCCGAAAACTGGAAAATTACCCTTTTTTTTATGAATAAAACCCCATAACTCGGAAACTTAAAATCTAAATTTAAAAAAAAAACGAAAGGGAGCTCACGTCAATAGATATAAACAATTCACCAAAGTTTTATACAAATTGGTGAAAGCATTTTTGAGTTAATGTCCAACATGTTGACGATGGACAGACGGACGGACAACGGTATACCATAATACGTCCCGTAAACGGGCGTATAAAAATTCTATAGTAAACCCCTCCCTTCCTCAGGCCCCTCCAAATACCCCTAAATAGACCCCAATGCACAAACAAAAGATCAATGGCTCCGCTAGACATGTTAAGTCTAATATTTTATGAAACCCTCTAAGTAAAACTGACAAACGGTCAAAGTTGTCTTCTTAGACGGTTTGAGTGGATTCGGTCTGACTTGTCTTGGGGACGAGTTGTCCACATTACTTAAAACATCCCATCAACGTTGATTTTCGCATCTGTTTCATGACCTTGTTCATTCATAAAATAACAACAACCTTATTTGGCAAGATAAGTTAAAAATTACCGCCCACTTATATAACTTTATTTCCTCTATCATATAGATTTGTTGTACATGAACAATATTCCTGCGCATTTTGCCATTTAGGAAATATAAACGACTTGTAATTACTGATTTTCGGCGATGAAATATTTCATACAATTGTTCTTTGACATCGTAGCCAAAAGCACAGGGGATAATAAACTACGTACGGATTTCTATTGAGCACTACTTCCTATGTGCAACTTCAAAAGTTTTGGGTAGTTCGATGATCATTTAAGGTTTTTCTGGTCATATTTTTTGTATTCCAGAAATAAAAGTATTAAAAAAATGTCCAATTAGTTATAAATAACATAATAGCCCAATAGATAATAACAATGGCACGTATTTCAGCATTTATTGGGTAGAACACAAATCTAGGGTGCTCGCATAAGGCAGCTTAACTGCCTAATAAAATTTATAAAATTCTAAAGGGAGCTTACATCAATAGATATAATCAATTCACCAAAGTTTCATAAGAATTGCTGAAAGCATTTTTGAGTTATTGTCTGAAAACTGGAAAATCACCCCTTTTTTAATGAATAAAACCCCATAACTCGGAAATGTAAAATCTAAAATTTATAAAATTCTAAAGGGAGCTTACATCAATAGATATCAACAATTCATCAAAGTTTCATGAGAACTGCTGAAAGCATTTTTGAGTTATTGTCCGAAAACTGGAATATCCCCCTTTTTTTTATGAATAAAACCCCGTAACTTGGAAACGTAAAATCTAAAATTTATAAATTGAAAGGGAGCTCATGTCAATAGATATAAACAATTAACCAAAATTTCTTGCAAGTTGGTGAAAGCATTCTTGAGTTATTGTCCGAAAACTGGAAAATTCCCCTTTTTTTAATGAATAAAACCCCATAACTCGGAAACGTAAAATCTAAAATTTATAAAAAATGAAAGGGAGCGCACGTCAATAGATATAAACAATTCACCAAAGTTTTATGCAAATTGGTTAAAGCGTTTTTGAGTTAATGTCCGACATGTTGACGACGGACGGACAGACGGACAATGGTATACCATAATACGCCCTGTAAACGGGCGTATATAAATAGTAACATCGAGTCAATATGTCAAAATAGTGAAAAAATACAAAATATATATTGGGAAAAACTTGACCAAATAAACCAATGAAAAACAAGAAGCATCAAACCATATGTAATATTGTAAAATATTTGCTGTGAAGCTTTTTGTCAAGTGAGAGCACAAAATGTATTCAAAAAGGATTCATGATGGGTCAAGCAGATAATATTTTACAACATCACTATTTTGGGTATTTTTCCTTTGATCTTTTTTTGTGACAATTTTTCATATTGTGCTAGTCACTTAAGATAGAAAATCATTGCTAGAAACTAAGGGAGCACATGCTGTTGTCAAGGTAAACATCCACAACATCACAAGCAAATTAGCGACAAATAGATTATCATTGGTCTTTTGAACTCAAGGATGTTGCCCTTCAATGAGATTGTAGCTGAAAACACCCTCTCGTTTGAAAAACCATCGATAATCTATAAATATCAAAATAATGAAAATGTGATTATCAATTTGTCTGATTTTATTTGTGTTTTTTCCTGACAGAAACAATTGTTTCTTTGTTTCTCCAGTAAACCAAAAGAAAACATGATAACTTCTGGTCAAACTTATCAACTTAGTGTTCAAACATACAACACATGTGACAAGTTTGGGTCAAAGTTATTATGGTAGGATCAACATATTTGATCCACAATGCCATCATATGCAATTTTTTATAAAAAGCTGAGCAGAATTAATTGATACAGGCAGAGGGAAGACATATAAGAGAAATATAAATATTATAGGAGATTACATGCAAAATATCTAAACCAAAAATTTGTATAAGCTGCTTTAAGTCCAATGATAAGAGTTTTCTAAATTATCCTTTTATGTTTCAGTGGACTAAATAATCCAGTTAAGTTTAGAAAGTTTGACAAATTACAATTACAGGTCACATGTCAATCATATACAAATAGTTAGTTGTCATATTGATAAGTTTCAAAATTATTTTATGAATTAAAAAAAAAGAGAAATTTTATTTTAAAAGCTAAAAATATGAACTATCTCCACTTTCAAGGGTAACACCTTCCTCATATTATTTTTTGCAGATAAAACTTACAGCAGTGAGTTCTTGCATCAATGTTTGATTCTGTAGTCTAAAGTCATCTTCCTGACTCAGTAATTTTCTCTGTAAGTTATCATTTTCTTGTAATAGTACTTCTACTTCCTGTCAAAGATAACAATTCTCCTCAGTATAAACCAATCAAGTGCTAGCCAATCTTCTTGTAACAAGTTTGTCAAAAATATTTTCAAAAATAATTAAAAATGTACTAGAATTGATGATATTCTGGTGAAACAGACTAAGGTTATTGATATAGATGACCTTACCTTAGATTTACCGAGAGGTCATCATGGGTTATTTGGGTGTCTGTATCAGACATTCTTAAATTGTTTGTGGTAAAATTAATATAGAACTGAGTCAACTGACTCCTTGCAAGAAAAAGTTCATTCACATATGTATTATTTATATTGACTTGTACATTTGAGAATCTCATCATTATTAAATTATTTTACTTATATGTACAATAATAATTTGTACCCTGTATACAACGTGAAAGACCAGACAACTCTGTATACTTTTAACCAGTGTAAATCAATCCTTTGGTTTTCTGTTTTGAATTGTTTCACATTTTGTCACAGCAGAATCTGTCATAGCTTACTGTTTGGTATGTGTGTTGCTCATTGTTGAAGGCTCTACAATGACTTGTAACTGTTCACGTCTTTGTCCTTTGGTCTATGGATAGTTGTCTAATTGACAATAATACCACAGCTCTATATTTGTTATATTTAAAGGTGTTAATCAAAAGTCGACAAGCAAGACTTTTTCTGCCATGACTCCAAACTTTAAATCTGTACTCTTTAAAATATCTGTGTTATATACTGTAAATTCAGAAATTATTGCGAGGTTTTTATTAATATGACTGGATGACTATCGCAATAATAAGAACTCGCATTCTGATGTAAGTTACATATATCTGTATGCAGATTTTTATGATATCACAATAATTAATCTCGCATTTTTGTCCACTCTTGAAAAATCGCATTTATAAATGCACGCAATAATTTCTGAATTTACAGTACAAAAACTATTAAATATGTTGGATTTACCTTGGCCTTTTTGCTCTTCTGAATTGCCTGAAAAATAAAAATAGATCTTTACTGGTCAGGAAAAGGTATCCTCCTATACTGACATTACTGGAAAAAAAACATTTTTTTCTTGAATACTAACAGGGTACATGGCAAACTGCTGAAATAAATACATTACTTCTTGAGCAATGCACAGAAATTTTACACTATTTTTAGTAGTGCTTATTGAAACATTCCTGCTAAGAAAAGGTTAAAAAAATATTAATCATATTGCAAAATTACCCAAGAAGTATTCCTTTATAAACCACATCTGGTATCCTTTAAATGTGTTTTCCAGGTGGTCCATGTAGTAACAATAAGAAAATATTTCCAAAGTAATTCTTTCCATAGATTTCTTCAAATGTTATTATGTATATGGTCAAAATATCTTAATATACATATAGTATTTAAATCTTGTTTCATCTGGATCAATTTTTTTGCAGTAAAATGCTTTTTTTTCAAACTGCTTGAATCATATTGTTCTATAACATCTTTGTAAATGTTAAACAAACTTTCAGCTTAATAACATCAAAATGGATAACATCATGGACAATGGATCATGTTTGTACTTACAAATCAAGCTGATACTATGGAGATTTAAGTTAATTTTCATCAGAGTACAAAATATTATCTGATATAGCTAGCTATCCTGCTATTTTTCTTATTTCATATTTATCTCAGGTCAAGTTGCAAACTCCCAAAACAATACATCTAATATGTCTTTTCTGGTTACCCTATTCTTGTCCTGCTATAGTAGTATATACATGTATATAATCTGATGTTCAGTAGTTGTCGTTTGTTGATGTGGTTCATAAGTGTTTCTCGTTTCTCGTTTTTTATATAGATTAGACCGTTGGTTTTCCCGTTTGAATGGTTTTACACTAGTAATTTTTTGGGGCCCTTTATAGCTTACTGTTCGGTGTGAGCCAAGGCTCCGTGTTGAAGACCGTACTGTGACCTATAATGGTTTACTTTTATAAATTTTGACTTGGATGGAGAGTTGTCTCATTGGCACTCATACCACATCTTCTTATATCTATGTATTTAAACCTCAATTCAAAGGTCACCTCTCTCATATATTTTCTATGGTCCCAAAAGGGACATTTATATACATGTACTTGATATATAATTAAACTATAACTCTATAACCTTACCTTGTTTGCATTCTGTAGTTGCCTGTCTATATTTTCAATTTTCTCATTTGAAGCAATGTTTTCTAAAACAAACAAACAAATCAGTCAATGTAAATGATAGATTTAATCTTCTTTACAAAATGTCAAAATTTTTATGCTAAAAAGGCAAAATGCAACAAAGCTAATTTAAGCATCAGAAAAAACCTAATTCATATAAAAAAATAATCTTATAAGTGCTCTTAAATTATATATAATTACTGACAGGATTTAATATAAAATACGATCATTCTCCTTCATCCCTTTAGACCCTCTCAAAACTCCAAAACAGTCATAATATTTGAATATAAGCACCAAAGAAAAAGAACTATTATTCAATATCTTACAAGGAACATTTCTGTGGGTTTTTTTTTTTTTTTGGGGGGGGGGGGGGGGGGCTGCCTAAGTAGTTTTTCTAGATTTATTTTACATATATATTTCAAAGGAGGTCAACTGTAAAAATTAAGAAGTAACACAACTGCTGCAACAATTGCACTTACAAGTATTAAATAATTCTCACAGAATAGTTTTGTCATATCATATTTTAACTCTTTGATTTCAATGAAATTTTTCTGCATTACTTTACATAAAATAATTTGAAATTTTGAACAATTATTTAAATCTAAAATACTCATATTGAATAATGATGAGCATGAAAACATAATCAAGTAAGGATCTTCCCTAACAAATATCAAGTTCTTTTTATTCAGTGATTAACATGAAGGAAAAGAAATGCTAAATTATTATGAGGATATAGAACATGTACAAACTATTGATAATAGTTGAATCATAGGTTTCTGGTTAACATGGTTAATGGATACATTATAAATGATATCTAGATCCAATACATGTATTAACTTCTGTGTTTTACATGTATATTTATATAAAGCAATAAATGTTTAGAATATCTTTGCTGACAACTCATTTATGGATGCCTAATTTAATCAAGCATTCTGTGAGTATTGCCTTGCAATACATAGTCCCCAACCAGTTAAAAATTCATTGTACTGGAACAAAATGCTAACTTGATCTATAACTTGTCATGGTGTAAACTATATAACAAATATCTTGTCAATATCTTCAAGCATGACGAAAAAAAGTGGGAAATTGATTATTTGAGTGAATTTTCTAAGTCCAAGGACCATAACTCTGCACAAAATCATTAGACCGGACCAAAATTCGAACTTGATCTGTAACTTGTCATGATAAAACTGTATACCAATCATCAAATCAATATCTTCAAGCATGACAAAAAAAGTGTGGAAAACTGATTATTTGAGTGAATTTTCTAAGTTCAAGGACCATAACTCTGCACAAAATCATCAGACCAGAACAAAATTCGAACTTGATCTGTAACTTGTTATGATAAAACAAACGGACCGATGGAGTGCAAACCTCAAGTCCCTTCGACTTCGTCACTAGGGGACTTATAATAGTTTTATTTGGTAGTTAGAATGTGCTATATGGGATGATAGTTTTGTATCAACAAAGACAAATTTAGACAAATTACATTTACAGCTATATCATTTTGGTGGACCACTAACCAACTGGAAATTGAGCCCTGGCAACATACTTTTTGGAATAATCCAATATTTTTTTTGTTTCATTATGTATGTGAGAAAGTAGATATTTATGCATCTCCTTCCTTCCCCCTTTTGATTGATTTATTGATTTTTGGTGTTTTAACGCCACTTTTAAGCACCGCTTTTGGGCTATTTCGTGGCGGCCAGTTTTTATTGGTGGAGGAAGCCGGAGTGCCCGGAGAAAACCACGACCTTCGATAGGAAAACTGACAATTCTAGTCAATTAAGATTGGAGTCAAGTGCACCCGCACGAGCAGGGTTCGAACTCCGGAGTTCAGTGTTGACTGGCTAGTGATTACAGTAGTAACTACTTAGACCACTCGGCCACAGAGGCCCCCCCCCCTCCCTTCCCCCTTTTGAAAACTGTTTCTACCTAATGAAAATATAATGAATGCTTTCTGACAAATTTCAGTTTTTGTGATTAAAAATAGACAGAGAAACATCACAAATATAAAATCATCACATAAATCACTGAATGTACATTATCCAAGACAAAACAAATCATTATTATCTGTTTGGCTGAAAAATTTAAAATCAGATATACATGTACAAGATTCCTATGATGATACTGGTAAGTTTATTGTAATCTTAAGATTTTCAGGATTTATTCATACCTCTTTCAAGCTTCTTGCACTTGCCATCCAATTCATAGTTTGTTGTTCTCAAATCAATTAATTGCAACTGAAAAAAATAATGATCTGCTGTCATTTAATGGACCTTTGAATTCATCTTTCATATCAAGTTATTTAGGTAAGTATTCAGACCAAGTCAAATGTTCATTCCCCTACGTTCCTACTCTGAATACCTTTGGTTAGGTAATACAATGTAGAAAGGCAATTATTTGCATGATGATGGTATGGACTATGGTAAAGATATTTATATTCTTAATGTGCTTTAACTTTCAGAACATTAATACATGTACATGTAGACTAAAAAAATGTAGTTCTAGAATGAATTTAAACTAGATCAGAGGCTGATTTAGTGGGGGCAGGGTATCCCCCTCCCTTTTATAGAGCTACATTTATGGTTAATGCATAGACTTTTTACATGTTCCATTCCAAGCATTGCCCCCCTTTTTCAAAATCATGGATCCACATCTGAACAAGGCAAATGATGAAACCTTTCAGACATTGCAAAACAAAGGTTGTTGCTAGTAAAGCTACATGTATTGCAGCGTTATGAATTCTTTATGCTTATTGCAAAATGAAAGTTTTTTTGTAATTTTAAGTATAGTGTAATACAAATACATGTATCTTTTTTACTTTTTAAATTCAGATGATTTACTTTTGAATGATTTAAAGAGTGGAAATTCAAATGTATATATCAGACAGCTAAAAAACAGCATTCCATGGGAACCAACTGCTCCTCTTCTTGTCGACTTGTTCCTTTATTCATATGAGGCTGACTTCATACAGGAACTTCTTAGGATGAAAGAAAAGAAGATAGCAGAATCCTTTGACTTTTTCCGCTATATAGATGATGTTCTCTCAATAAATAATTCAAAGTTTGGTGACTATCTTGAAAGCATCTAACCCATTCAGCTTAAGATAAAGGATACGACAGATACAATTAAGTCTGCCTCATATCTTGACTTACATCTAAAAATTGACAATGAGGGTTGATTGAAAACATAATTTTACAACAAAAGTGATGATTTCAGCTTCCCAATTGTGAACTTTCCATTTCCCTGTAGCAACATTTTAGCAGCGCCTAAATATGAAGTACATATCTCCCAGTTGATACGATATTCCAGTGCTTGTATTTCCTATCATGATTTCCTTGATAGAGTGCTGCTGCTCACAAGGAAGCTATTAAACCAAGAGCTGCAAGTGGTGAAGTTGAAATCATCCCTTCGTAAATTTAATGAACGCCATCACAATTTGCCTTTGGTTGACCATTATGGATTATCTGTTTCACAGATGACGACCGATAGGTTCCAATTGTCATAACTATAATCCCATCCCCTTTTCCCTGAATGTGACCTGCCAAATGAGACTTATCACCGGGTTTGTACTTACTATAGCAACACGACAGGTGCAACATGTAGAGCAGGATCTGCTTACCCTTCCAGAGCACCTGAGATCACCCCATTTTTGGTGGGGTTTGTGTTGCTGAGTCTTTAGTTTTCTATGTTGTGTTTTGTGTACTGTTGTTTGTCTTTTGGTCTTTTTCTTTTTTAAAAACAGGGCGTTGTGATTTCATTTTCGACTTACGTGTTTGAATGTCCCTTTAGTATCATTCGCCTCTCTTTTTTAATAACTGACATAAGAATATATAAGGTTTATTTATCTTCTATATGAAAACTTCCATCCTATTAAAATTTTGTAATCAATTTGTCAACCAATCCAAACAGCATTGACTTTGAAGAACAGATAGAGGTTTGAAAGTTCAAATCCTTTTTATTGATTTTGCGGTCCTGCCATTGGTTTTGCCTTGAATCATAATCCAACAGACTGAATAGAGATCAACAGTTACCCAAATAAGTAAAATATAACTAAATCGAAGGATTGTTACTCATTTGGGAAGTAGAACAATTTCTATAGTCTGCATCATGTATAAATGGCACCAGGTTTTGGTCCAAAATTTTGAAACTATCAATCACTTTTACTCAGAAATGTCATTTTTCACTTAGCAAAATTTAAACTGTTTTAATTTGGAATGACAGAAACTATAGTCCCTTTTCTTATGAAAGATTGAGTTATACCAATTTACCCGAGGACAGTCAGCATAAATGACTTCATTAAACAAGCAACTCTTCCTGTTACTTAATAACATAAGAATTGCTACATCGAAAATGTTCTTTAAAATGCATGAAGTTGAAAGTTGTCTATACAGTCCTCTAATAGACAGTTTCCAACTTCAATTTTATGAATCAACTCCCCAGTCAGAAGAAAATGCTTGGTTGGACATTGTGATATGAAGTTGCTGGCTTTAGGACTTCAATTTTTTTCGATAAAAAGCACCAGTTAGGAATTCATGTATTTTGTGGGTAGTGTTGTATAACTGGAGATTTAATAGTAGTCTAACTGGTTGAGTTAGGGAAGATTTTTTTGGCTCAATTGCTTAGAGAGCTGCCTTTAGATCCCGAGATTGAGGGATAGTATTAGTAGTCCCCATTCGAATGGATTCGCTCAGAAACTATTCATTTCGTCACAATCATGTAAAGCGTCTTCTTTCTTCATTTGTAAATGATTTGTTGGCAATTTGGGCTAAAGTCAGTTATAGGCACCTGCATTCGGTGAAATTCATCCTCAGACAGGGAGGACGACATTTCTGTTGACGTTTTTCTCTGATCTTTTCATTGAACAACGAAAAATACCGGAGGTTCTCCGAACATTCCAATCAATCTAAGTACCAGCAAATATATTTTATAAAACAAATACAATAACGACCAATAAATGTTTTTGGAAAGATATGTTATACTTTAACTTAAGAGACGGAAACAACTGAAAGAAATAGAGTTTAGATTGTACAGCTTGTTCTGTCTTTTGCAATATTTCATCTGTAACGATTTGGCGAAAGGATTGATGTTAAATTTAGTGACTCCTTTATAATGATATGATGGGAGTTTTTAACGACGTTGACTGGCTATACAGCCCTCGCACGGTCGGTTTTATAATATGCATAGCTTTAATTTGTTTTATTCTAAAATAATGACGTCATCATAACTTGCTTTTAACAGAATCTATTAAAAGAATTATATCAAACCAGAGTATATCCTTTAGGTCCTCTTGAATACTAAGTTCTTGAAAAGTGAGTAGATGTTTTTTGATAAAATGACACTTGTTAACTTCTCCTGCTAGAGGAGTTAGATAAATGCTAGATGTTTTTGTATATTGTTAATGATGTTATACACCATATTTATTTATTTACAAGTCTAAACATCCGAACAATCTTTCAATCATACTGTCACAGGTCCTTCCCTTGAAGAAATTTTAATAACTGAGAATTTCTTATATCATTGAGTAGTGAGAATAATTTTATACTAATTGTCTCACTTGGCATCCATCGTCAGTCTTCACTCTAAATTCGTCTGTTACGTCACGATTAGTTGTTTTGAATTGGACATGCTAGTCATACGGTGATAAAAGAATTGCATCAAGGCCAATTTGTAGACATTTTCAGATAACAAGGGGGGACTGACGAATCCAAACCCGAACCTCCTGCTACAACTTTTAAGAGTTACATGTGTAAAGTTTCTTTGTGTTTTTTATGTGCACGTTTGAATGCCAAATTCTCAGTATTGATTCCTGTGGCACAATAAATATCATCATTCGTATTAGGTACTAATAATCAAAGATGTAACCAAATGTGTATGACCGTATAGTGAAGTCTTCAAATTTCACCCATTCAGTCACTTTTTTATTCCGTGTAATAAAAAATAATCGGATTCTGTGCTTCTTTCTTTCAAATACGGTTCTAATGGAATACCTTAACTTGAACTCGGATCCAAGACAAGTTGGATAAAGAAAACTTGGATCAGTTTGAAAGACAACTCGAACAACTTATTACTTCTAGGGAGACAAGTATATATCTTATTTTTTTCATAATTTCAATGCATATAAAGATATTTGTTGTTGTATTCAAAGATGTTTGTTTTTCATGAGTTATTCAGAGTTTTTTTTAAACTGTTCCAAGTCAGTCTTTAAATTGGTATGAAATAGGAGAAATATCTTTGTACACATGTTCTTTGTTTTCTCCGACTGTTTATGACGTCTTTAAACGTGAACTAATTGATATGTTAGTCTTGGCCATGATAAATGATTTTTTCATTAGTTGCATATTGTCTTTGAACTAGCTTCCAGCTGGGACTATTATACAACAATATATTATGTCCCAGCTTTCAGTGACTGCGAGATCATCATCATTTCCTTTTTTCTCAAGTTCGGTACTTTGTGCCTTGAGTTGTATTGTATGTGCTTTGTGTCGATGAGATGAGTCAAACCTATTAGAACTGTATAGTTTATTCTTTTATTGTGCTGTTACACTAATGTCCCAGGTTAGGGAAGGGTTGGGCATCCGCTGTCAACGTATATTTGTTATGCCTAAAAGAAGTTCCCCTGGAGTTCTGTAAGAACAAATATTCTATATATATATATATATGAGTCTAAAAGATTGTGTAACAATACCGATAAATAGATGGAAAACAAAACACTAAAAAGTGTTGAATATCATCGCACAAAGATGGAAAAACTGAACAGATGATATAAATTATACAATAATTGCAAATATTTCGGCTCAACAAATGGCCTTCCTCAGTGTTAAAAGTTTTAACAATACTGATATATAATGTATAAGGTGTAAACATAGATCAGTAATAATACAGGTAAGTTTTGGTCGATTGATTTTAATCCAAAATCCTGAATATCATAATATAAACATTAGACTGTAAATTTAATTATTTCTTTCTATTGATTCCATCTGGATGGAGGACACCCAGTGTTTTTATCCAAAACTTCTCCCGATTCTCTCTTTGCCTATTTTGCCATGTACAATCCTGTTCGATCACAAGGATCTTCATGTGATCAAAATCTTTCAGATTGTGATCTGGTAACCTGAAGTGTTGACTGACAGGAATATACGTTTTTTTTTGTGAGGTCACTCCTGTGGCCATTAAGGCGTTTGTGAAATGGCTGCATAGATTCACCAACATATTGGAGACAACATATAGGACACTCAAGAACGTAAATCACGTTTGAGCTTTTGCAGAAGATCTTGTATGTCTTTTCTGTGGTCTTACTGTGAAATGTTGATGAATGCTGCAATTGGTTGCAACATTTGCAGCGCTTATCCCACAAGGCTGGCAATTACCTACAGTATGGTTAGGTTTGTAGGTACTGTAGGTAATTGCCAGCCTTGTGGGGATAATCATATTTGTTTTTCGTTTATTGTTTTGTACATAAATTAGGCAATTAATTTTCTTTCTCGTTTGATTTGATTTACATTTTTCATGACGGGGCCTTGTATAGCTTGCTTCGCGGTATAGGTTTTGATCATTGTTGAAGGCCGTACGGCGACCTATAGTTGCTAATTTCTGTGTCAGTTGGTCTCTGGTTGGAAGTTTTCTCATTGGCAATCAAACCACATCTTCTTGTTTTTATATTGTGTCAAAAACAACTTAAAGATCTGCGTAGAAATTTTCAAAATTCTCTTCTTACTGAGTTTGTTTGTCACGTTTTGATTCAATAGATTATCAAATTACTGATGTGTTATTTAAGGAAAGATTATAAGCACAAGCCCTGGTTTAACTCTAATATAATGGTTGAGAATCATTTGGAAACAGATTTAGGGGAGCCATTGAGAACAACAAACATTATAATGTTGAGTGTAAATTAAGAGACCTCAGCTGTCTAATTTGATAATCTAATTGAGTCAGTTATACAATTTTGTTGAAATTATAAAGACTGACAATCATGCTGTTGATTATTGAGATTCCAATTTAGTACGCCATGTTGACGTATATCTAGGTGTTTAATTAATTTACTCATCAAGCAGTTATATAATGTGATTTACACACCCCAAAAACGCCAAAAAATCAAAGTCGGGTCTGTGTTTCATAAAACATCTTACGACTTAAATTCCTCGTATGCCTTGACAAGATTAGTATACTTATATTATCAGTCGTTAAAAAAATATGAAAAGGAGGCCTGCTATATTTAGTGAGGTTTGCAGGCCTGTTGTGTTTTGTGAGGTTCTTGTGAAACGCAGGACTGGTATGAGTAGTGAGGTTTGCAAGTCTATGGAGTTGGCGAGGTTTTTGTGAAACGCAGGCATGGTATGTTTAGTGAGGTTTTTATTGTGAAATTTTAGTTACTGTAATGTACTATAAAGTATCATAAGTCTACTGGAAGAGAAATGAGCGTTATTATTTAACTTATATAGTTAAAAAAAACGGTGTTAAGCTCAGGTGATTCAGAAGACCAGGATCTACTAGAGGCACCCTTCGTGTTTCTCGTCAAATTATAATGCCTGGTTACTTTAGTATCTATAAATGTGTTAAAAACTTCAATGATAAACCGGTTATTTTTTTAGCTTGGTATCTTCTGGAAAAGTTCGGTTTACACCGGCTGTAAATGAGATTTATTTTATTACAGGGCACTTTCTTTCAGGCAAGACAAGACAAGATGAAGATTTAAATTGTAGTAATGGGTTAGAAATGTTTCTTCATACAGTCTAGTGGTTTATTCCGTCTGTAGTTATTTGTTACTTGTTTTTGAGTTTCCTATTAAAGGTTCTGGATTTAGTTTTATCACTAAGATGACGGGTATAATGTGTCATCTTGACTTTTTATAATTCTGTAATATTTTCAACTTTAGGTTTTCGAGTGCTTGGTATTTGTTTTGTACATTGTATACCACGACAATGGCTTTATGTGGAACTTCGGTGAAATTCCTGACATTTTGTATCAACGCCTCAGCTGAATTTAACTCCCTAGGACTTTAAATACATGTGACTTAAATTGGCAGAACACTTCCTGGAATGATAAGTAAACTTAAATTTGTTTGGTTTTATAATCCCTAACTAATTAGATCTAGATTAGTCGTATAACTTTTCATACCTTACTTTTATAAAAGATTTATTTTCTGGAGGTGCACTTGTCTTCGTGTCACTGTTTATTTGATTTATAAAGAATGATTGTTTGCCAAAATATTTGACTATACAGAAATGTGACAATAGGTTCTACTAAATCAACACATTTTCCAGATTGTCAATTAAGAAGTTCTGATATTTTATTTCTGAACTTCTTAATAGTTATAGGTTCAATGATGATAAACAGTCAATGGTGCCTCTCCATTCTGTGGTGACTGTTTATGTGCCACAACTTCATGGAAACATGTCATTGCCATGAACATATCATACCGACAAAGGGCGTTATGATAATATTTAGGTTCAAAATAAAAGTGATTCAATTATTTTTTTTTCTTGAAGACTGTTGGACTACCTGCTGTAAAAATAATAATATGCTTCATTTTTTGTACATAAATTAGGCCGTTAGTTTTCTCGTTTGAATTGTTTTACATTGTCATTTCGGGGCCTTTTACAGCTGACTGTGCGGTATGGGCTTTGCTCATTGTTGAAGGCCGTACGGTGACCTATAGTTGTTAATTTCTGTGTCATTTGGTCTCTTGTGGAGAGTTGTCTCATTGGCAATCATACCACATCTTCTTTTTATATTCCTTTCAAAAACGGTTACTAAATATTCAACTACAAGTAAATCGTGGTATATCGCACCATTATTCTAGTAAAACTCTTCAAATTCATATTTTTATCCGTTATTAGTTCACATC